GAGTGAACCAGCATGGATGATCTCTCTCTCTCTCCTTCTCTCTGTAACTCTTTCAAATAAATCTTTAAAAAATAAATACAATTTAAAATTTTTTAAAAGAGACTGAAACCATTACCTGCTGCCTCGCAGGAGGCAGAGCTGGGACTCAAACCGAAGCCCTCTGATGTGGGGTGTAGACGGCTTACCTGCAGCTCCAAATGCCTGCCCCAACAAGTAGTTCTTAAAGATTTATTTACTGGGGCTGGTGCTGTGGCATGGTGGGTAAAGCCACCACCTGCAATGCTGGTGACACTGATTTAAGCCCCTACTGCTCCATTTCCAATCCAGCTCTCTGCTAGGGCCTGGGAAAGCAGCAGAAGATGGCCCAAGCCCTTGGGTCCCTGCACCCATGTGGGAGACCGGATGAAGCTCTTGGCTGCTGGTTTTGGACTGGCCCAGCTCCGGCCGTTGTGGCCACTGGGGAGTGAAGCAGTGGATGGAAGATTCTCTCTCTCTCTCTCTCTCTCTCTCTCTCTCTCTCCCTCTCTCTCCATCTCTCTCTCTTTCAAATATTATTTTGAAAGGCAGAGTTGCAGAGAGAGAGGGAGAGACAGAGAGAAGAGGGAAGAGGGGATTCCCCCAGGGTACCTTCCCTGAGGAAAGCTGTGACGGTTTTATTGCCCAGTGTTATCAGGCTGCGTAACCAAGCGCATATACTCATATATGAGGTTCAGTGCGACCCAGGGCTGCCGGTACCCCGGGGGCTACTCCCCTGCTTTGCTTAGGGATGCCCTGCTTTGCCAGTGGACCTCCAGTCAGTCCTGGCGTCTTCTCCTCTCTACAGTGACACAGTCCTCCCCTGAGACCACGGGGCTGTCTGGGATGTCACTCAGAGCCTTCCCTTTGCAAACCAGCTCGCCCTTCCCCCGGTACAGAAGAGTCCATGAGATCTCAGCCCTGCCCGCTCCCCAGCTCATCTCAGCCCCACTCCCTGTAGCTCTAAAGTCCTCCAGCCAGTGGTAGAGGACAAGTCAGGGGGCAAGACAGAGGGGACACAGATCCCGAACTCAACAGCCAGAACAGGTTTGTTAGGAAACAAACCCGAGAGGGACCGGTCCCAGCCCTGTCCTCTTACAGACTGCGGCTTACAGAGCTAAGGCAGCTGAGGGTCCTGAGTGGGCGGGCTTTGCGGCGGGCTTCTGGGGTGGGGTTGAGCCGGTAGAGGCGGATTGCGGGGCGGGGGCGGGGAGTTTCTCGTGGTGGTGGTGGAGGGCTGTCAGTCACGTAGGCAAGGCTGTGGGTGCTTCAGATCTGCTTGCGTTCTCGCTCCATCACTGGTCTTTTCCCAGTTCCTGGATCTGAAGTGCCCCTTGGGGCCTTTGCTCATCCGTTTCCTGTGCCAGGAAATCCTTCGCTCTCCCCACACGCAGTCCCTCGGCTGGGGGGAGGATGAGGTGTGCATCACCTGTAACTCAGCCACAGTGCACTTCCTCTCTCCCAGACACCCGGCCCCGCCAAGCCAGGGCTGGTCTCATCACTGTCGGATGCAGCCAAGTACACAGTTACAGATATAAGCACCCGAAGTTGTTTTTTTTTTATTTATTATTTTTTTTTATTTTTTTTTTATCGAAGTTGGTTTTAACACCAGAAATAAAATACTTGGCTTAAAAACAGAGACCACTGGGGCTGGTGTTACGGCATAGCGGGTTAAGCCATTGCCTGCAGCAGAAGATGGTCCAAGTGCTTGGGCCCCTGCACCCACATGGGAGACGCGGAAGAAGCTCCTGGCTCCTTGCTTCAACCTGGCCCAGCTTGGGCCATTGTGGCCATTTGGGAAGTGAACCAGTAGATGGAAGACCTCTCTCTCTGCCTCTCCTCCTCTCTCAAATAAATTAATCAATTTTAAAAAAGAATAGATAACATTTTTCAAAAGTACTAATCGACAGTGTAGTTTTAGGATTTAAATGAGGTGTTGCCGGATTCACATTAAATACTGAATGCAAGAGCTCTTGGGGCCGGCGCTGTAGTGGAGCAAGTAAAGTTGCCGCCTGCCATGCTGGCATCCCATATGGGTGCTGGTTCGAGTCCTGGCTACGCCACTGCCAACCCAGCTCTCTGCTATGGTCTGGGAAAGCAGTGGAAGATAGCCCAATTCCTTGGGCCCCTGCACCTGTGTGGGAAACCTGGAAGAAGCTCCTGGATCCTGGCTTCGGATCACACGTCATGTCCCACACAAGTCTTGGAGAGGAAGACAGTTCCCATATTGTTGCTACTCAGGGATCCGGGCTGACGGAGGCTCTGTGCCTTGGCGGACAGGAGCTTCCCTGACCCGGAAGGCAGCTGGAAAAACCAGGTGAACTATGTATTGGCTCTGAGGCGTGCAGCCCACAGCCGTCCACGCTCTGTCCCCCAGCATTTCACAGCAAGTCCCACGGCTCAGCCCAATTTCCAAAGGCACAGAGAAGGGTGACTCGACCCTGCGCCAGAATGACACTGGACTGTGGGAACTCTTTAAAGTCCTGCCACAGTTTGCTCTGGGTTTCTGGTAGATAACTCTATCAGGCTAAGCAGTGCTGTCACGACTTTGTTTAGGTTTGTCAAGGAAGAACTCGTTTCTATCATGAATGAGCGTTAACTTTTATGCCGTCTGTTTGGCGTGTGAATGTTTTGCAATATTTCCGTAGATTGCTCTCTGCCCTCTGCAACCACCTTTTCTGCTGAATTCCTTCTTATTCTTTAGAGTTCATCTGTTCGTTCAGCCAATATTTATTGAGCAATACTATATGCTGGGTGCTCCTCCAGGCACTTGGCTCTTACACTCTGGTAGGGGAGAAAATAAACACACACACACACACACACAAAACCAAATAGGCAGGCTGGCACTGTGGCACGGCGGGTGAAGCCGCAGCCCAGGAGGCCTGCATCCCATTGTGGAGTGCTGGGTGCAGCCCAGCTCTTCCTGGGCCCTTTCCAGCTTCCTGCTAATGCATCCTGGGAGCCTGCCGATGATCACGCAACTACTTGGGTCCCTGCCACCCACGTGGGCCGCCTGGGGGTTGTGGGCATTCGGTGAGTGGACCAGGGGGTGAAGATTTCTCTCCCCCCCTCCTCCCTTCCTTCTCTTCCTCCTCCTTCTCTCTCTCTCGCTCTACCTTTCAAATAAGTGAAAATAATTAAACTTATTAACCAAATAGGTAAATTGTGTTACCATGCTAACATGGTATAACACGAGGTACAATTGAAAAAAAAAAAAAACAAAGCAGCAGCAGATGAGGGTAAAGGAGAACGGAGGGTGAGGTGTAGTCGGAACAAGGAAGTCTGCACTGGTCAGTGACTCAGAGCAGCTGGGCAGGCAGATGTCTGGAGAACACGGCGCAGCTGCAAGACCAAGACTTGGGCTGGCAGCTGCGTGCGGTGTTCCAGGGAGCTGGGCGGGGCTGATAGAAGACAAGAAGGACCTGGGGCGGGGGGAGTGACATAAGGGGCCTGGAGACCGAAGCAGGGGTTTTGAGTTTTTCTTGGAGTACGATGGGAGCCTTGCAGGGTTGGGGCGGAGGAGGCACGGAATCTGACTTGTGCTTTGGGAGGGTCTCGGGTGTGGTGTTGAGATGCCCGCAGGGTGGCAAGGCAGGACCGGGAAGACAGGTGGAATCGCCCAAGTAAAGATGCGCCTGCAGCGGTCACAGCAGCGGGGTAAGAAGTGTTTGGATTCTAGGTATTTTTTTTTTTTTAGATTTATTTTATTTTATTTGAAAGGCAGAGTTACAGGGAAAGAGGGAGAGTGAGAAAGATCTTCCATCCACTGGTTCACTCCTCAAATGGCCGCAGCAGCTGGGGCTGGGCCAGGCTGAAGCCAAGAGCCAGAAGCTTCCTCTGGATCTCCCACATGGGTGGCAGGGGCCCCAGCACTAAGGCCATCTCTGCTGCTTTCCTAGCAGGGAGCTGGGTCAGAAGTGGAGCAGCCAGGACTTGAACTGGCGCCCGTGTGTGCTGCAAGCATGGCAGGCCACAGTTTTACCTGCCAGGCTACAAAGCAAGTGAAGATGGCCCAAGTGCTTGGGCCCTTGCCACCCGTGTGTGCGTGGGGGGTGGGTGAGGGGGAGAGAGAGACAGAGACAGAGAGAGGAGAGAGAACTGCTCTCTGATGGTTCACTCCAGAAATCCTGCAGATCTCAGAATTTCAATCCTCGGAACTCAACAGAGATCAGCCACGTGGGCCATCACCTGCTGCCTCCCAGGGGCTGCACTGGCAGGAGCTGGAGTCAGGAGCCCGAGTCAGGGCTCCAATTCCTGCAGGCGGATGTGGAAGGCGAGCATCTTACCCACTAGACCGTGCCGCGGTCTTGAATTCTAAGCTCAGTTCAGATATCACTTCTTCCAGGAAGCCTCTGTCCCCAGGGTGGGTCCCAGCCTCCCGCGCCGCTTCTTTCTCACAACTTCACTGCGTTCTTCGCTCCCTGGTTCCCGCAGTAGCCCGCAAAGCCCCTATGGCCAAGAACAGAGCTGCCCAGCTTGCCCATCGCTGCGTCCCAGCATCTAACGCGGAGTAGGCTCGATGCGGGGCCATGAACTAGCTGAAGAAATGAACAGGTGCGGGGAGTCCTGGGTTAACTGGCTTGGGCACCTTTGAGGCAGCCCCTCGCACATCCTTGGGTGACCGGAAACCGCCCCGCCCCCACACGGCGCTGCTCTGCGGCTTTAAGGGCCTCCCCCAGCCGAGCCGGGCTGTGATTGGTGGTTTATTCTAACGGATGGAGGATGAGCTCATCCGCAGCCAATGGCCCGGGCCACAGCCGGCGGGACCCCCGCACCTGGCCTAAGCGCGGCACTGCCGCGGCTCCCGGTGCGGGCGAGGGTGAAGGGGCGGTGGCTGCCGGATAGGTCCGGCCCAGCGGACCAAGCGCCTGGCTCGGGCAGGTACGGGGTTTGCCCGGCTCCTCCTCCGTCCTCCGCAGGCGAGGAGGCCCCCTCCTCTCGCTGCTCGGGCCGGCCTCCCGTGGCTGTCCCCGAGGAGCAGTGCACCTTGCGTGCGGGGGACACGCCCGGGCGGGGTGGCCCCCTGAGGCTGAGCCTCCTGGAGCGGCTTGGGCCAGGCCTCAGAGGTGCAGAGCCTGAGCTCCGGGAGCTGGGACAGAGCGGCCTCCCTGCACCCCCAGGCCGCATGCATGCATGCACCCCTCCTATCCGGGGCTCAGCGGGCTGCCGGCTCGGGACGTGGGTTTCCCTCTCCACCCACCGCCCATCCAGTCCTCTCCTGCCTGTTAGGCCCGACCGCTTCCCCATGGCTGGGGGACTGCCGTGGTGGCGGGGGCAGTGGAGGGGCCCCTTCTCTCCCGCTTCCGCTGCTCTGACCCTTCCACCCCGGGGAGGAGCTGCCATGGCCTCCGGGGTTTCCCAGAGGCGGTGGGGAGGGTCAGAGCCATCCTTGCGGAGGTCTGGGTCACCCTGCCCGCCTCCCTCGGCCAACTCCCTCTAAAGTGGCAGCTTCCTCTGCCGGCGGAGGTGGGCGCCCAGCCCCCGGGCTTGGTGGAGGTCCTCACTGGCTGACCGTACTGATCTCAGCCTAGAGGGGGACAAAGCAGGGCAGGGACAGTCTGTCCTGGCCAGAGAGAGACGCCTGGGAGAGGAGAAGCAGGCGGGAAGCTGGAGACAGGCAGGGCGGGACCATGTGCAGGGTGGCCTCTGAGCTCCCCGTGTACTGGACGCCGGGTTCCTCTGTGGAGCAGGGGTCAGAGGACCCCGCAGCTCTCTGGGTAGAAGCTTGAGAAATCCTGGCTGAGCGGAATTGGGTCGAGCAGAGTCTTATCCTGTTATAGCCCAGGTAGGAAGGGTATGGCCCCACCAAGGGGCCAGGAGGCGAATCCGGGTCTCCCCAGTATTCAGCGGAGGAAGCCAGGGGGTCTTCTGCCTAGGTCCTCCCTAATGTGCCGCCTCATTCCAGACCCCAGCCGCAAGACAGCCATGAGCCTGGTGGCCTGCGAGTGCCCGCCGGGCCCCGGCCTGGAGTCGGAGCCCTGCTCACGGGCACGGTCCCAGGCCCGTGTGTACCTGGAGCAGATTCGCAACCGCGTGGCCGCGGGACCGCGCGACTACCTGGTGGACGCGGCCACTCAGATCCGGCTGGCCCTGGAGCGTGATGTCAGCGAGGACTACGAGGCAGCCTTCAACCACTACCAGAACGGCGTGGACGTGCTGCTCCGCGGCGTGCACGGTGAGGGCCTGGCGCGAGGGGCAGGGCGGTGCAGGGCTCGTCCGTCCCCCGGCTGCCCTGCCCTCTGCCCATGCGCACAAGTGGGCAGCGCGCTATGCTGGAGGTGATACTAAGAACGAGTTCCTACCAAGGTGTTTCAAAAAGTTCGTGGAAAATGGAATGGAAGGTTTATTTGGTGCAAAAAAGCTTTTTAAAACTTTTTAAAAGAGTTGTTCATTTAAAAGGCAGAGCAACAGAGAGAGAGGGACAGGAAGAGAAAGAGAGAAGATGGCTACAACAGCCAGATCAGAGCCAGGCCAAAGACAGGACCAGGAACCCCATCCTGGTCTCCCACATGGGTGCAGGCACCCATGGGTACTTGGGCCATCTTTCACTGTTTCCCCAAGCCCATCAGCAGGGGAATCAGAGGTGGAGCAGCCAGGACTTGAATCTGCACTCCGATATGGGATGCTGGCATTGCCAGCCGTGGCTTAACCCACTGCACCACAATACTGGTCCTGGTGGAAAAAATTAAATCTGTGCATAATTTTCTCATAGTATGTATTTTTATAACTTTTTTGCAATTTTATTTTAAGATTTATTTATTTATTTGAAAGTCAGAGTTACACAGAGAGCGGAGAGGCAGACAGAGACAGAGGTCTTCCATCCGATGGTTCACTCCCCAATTTGCTGCAACTGTCGAAGCTGCGCCGATCCGAAGGCAGGAGCCAGGAGCTTCTTCTGGGTTTCCCACATGAGTGCAGGGGCCCAAGCACTTGGGCCATCTTCTACTGCTTTCCCAGGCCATAGCAGAGAGCTGGATCAGAAGTGGAGCAGCTGGGTCTCAAACCAGTGCCCATATGGGATGGCCTGGCTTCAGGCCAGGGTGTTAACCCGCTGCACCACAGCAGTGACCCCTGAAATTTTATTTATTTGAAAGGCAGAGAGAGAGAGAGAGAGAGAGAGAGAGAGAGATCTTCCACCTGCTGGTTCACTCCCCAAATACCTGCAACAGCTGGGGCTGGACCAGGCCAAAGCCAAGAGCCTAGAACTCAATCCGGGTCTCCCATATGGGTGGCAGGGACCCAAGGACCTAAGCCATCACCTCTGCCTCTCGAGATGCACATTAGCAGGAAGCTGGGGTGGGCCTGGAGCTGAAAGCCAGACACTCGGGAAAGCAGTGGAAGGTGGCCCAGGTCCTTGGGCCCCTGCACCCACGTGGGAGACCCGGAAGAAGCTCCTGGCTCCTGCCTTCGGATTGGCCCAGCTCTAGCTGTTGCAGCCAGTTGGGGAGTGAACCAGTGGATGGAAGACCTCTCTCTCTCTCTCTCTCTCTGCCTATCCTCTATTTGGGTAATTGTGACTTTCAAATAAATAATAAATTTAAAAACAAACAAACAAAAAAGAAAGCCAGGCACTCTTCTATGGGATGCGGGTATACCAAGTGGCATCTTAACCACTGTGCCAAATGCCCTCCATGTCTATGAACTTTTATTTTTATTTATTTATTTGAAAGGCAGAGTTAGAGAGACAGAGAAAGGTCTTCCATTTGATAGTTCACGCCTCAAGTGGCCACAATGGCCAGGGCTGAGCCAGGCCGAAGCCAGGAGCCAGGAGCTTCATCTGGGTCTCCGTGTGGATGGCAGGAGCCCATGTACTTGGGTCACCTCATGCTGCCTTCCCCAGGCCGTTAGCGGGGAGTTGGATCAGAAGTGGAGCAGCTGGGACCCAAACTGGCATCACAGGCAGCAGGCGGCTTTGCCTGCTATGCCACAGTGCCAGACCATCCATGAGCTTTTTAAAGACTCTTTATGGAGCCGGTACTGTGGTGCAACCGGTTAACACCCTGGCCTGAAGCCAGGGCATCCCATATGGGTGCCGGTTCGAGACCTGGCTGCTCCAATTCTGATCCAGCTCTCTGCTATGGCCTGGGAAAGCAGTGGAAGATGGCCCAAGTGCTTGGGTCCCTGCACCCATGTGAGAGACCCAGAAGAAGCTCCTGGCTCCTGGCTTCGGATTGGCGCAGCTCCGGCCATTGCGGCCAATTGGGGAGTGGACCAGCGGATGGAAGACACCTCTCTCTCTCTCTCTCTCTCTCTCTGCCTCTCCTCTCTCTGTGTAACTCTGACTTTCAAATAAGTAAATACATCTTTTTTTTAAAGACCCTTTATAAGTGCATGGACTTGAAAACTATTTGCCCCAACATAATCGTTTTCTTCTGTTTTTTTCCATGAACTTCCTGAAGTATCTGCGTATATGCTGGGCACTGTGGTAAGGGCTTTAGCTGTAGTAGCTCATTTGGGCCTCGCAGTCAGAGAGACTTCTGTATTTGCTGTTGGATGTAGTTCTCAGCCCTACAGGAACCGTGTTTACTCCTGCTCATCCTTTCCAGAGGGGGGAACTGGGACAAGGGCAGCTGGAAAGCCTGCTCGGGCTCCATGGCTAGCAGATGGCTCTGGAGGCTGTGCACCTGCCCCACTGCACCTGACTTCCTGGGCTGGGCCGGGCCGGGCCTCTGCCCTCAGGAGCTTGGAGCCAAGAGACTGGGGAGGTGCTCAGAGAGAAGTGTGGGGAGGGAAAGGGGAAACCAAGGCCACACTGGGCCAACCTGGGGCATCCTCTGGAAGTCAAAATCCCACTGTGAGCGCTGCAGAACAGTAGGGGCTTTGGCTGAAGGAGCAAACAGTGTTCCAGAGAGACAGCAAGGGCGAGCAGGGGAGAGTGGAGGCCTGCTGGGGCTGAGGCCAGGTCTGGGCAGGAGCTGGGTCCCGCCTCACCCTTCCTACCCTCCTGCCCCGAAACCTGTCCAAGCCTGGGCTTCCAGCCTGTCCAGAAACTTCTTTCACAAATGGAAGAAGCAAGGCTTTCTGGAAACTTCTATGTCCTGCTCCAAACAAAATAGGTGTGAAAATCCCCACCCCGTGTGATGGCAGCCGGAGAGATGGTGGGTGCCACTGGAAAGGGGGGGTGGGCTGGGAGTGACCACGGCACCCAGCCTCCCAGCCAGAGGGGCTCAGGAGCAAACACGGCGGCAGAAGCCGCTGAAGCCAAAGCTTCCAAACAGGAGCCAGCCTGTGCAGGGCAGAGGGTGGACCCCGTGGGCGCGGGGTCTCAGGGTCCTAGAAACGCTTGTCCCCCTATAGTTGACCCCAACAAGGAGCGATGCGAGGCTGTGAAGCTGAAAATCACCAAGTACCTGCGGCGCGCGGAGGAGATATTCAACTGCCACCTGCAGCGCACGCTGGGCGGCACGGCCAGCCCTGGCACGGTGAGGGGGCCCCTCCCCAGGGACCAGCGCGGGAGACCCCACGCTGGACGCGTGGCGGAGGGCGGAGCCACTGGTGTGCGCCAGGTCACCCCTCGGGGCCTCTAGCTTCCGGCGCTCTCCAACGCGCACAGCCCCTTCCTTTCCGCTTCCTGAACCACCCCCAGTTTGGTCTCGTGCCGTAGCGGAGCCTGAACCAGCCCGCGCACACAGGCTGGCGCCTGCGCACATGCAAAGTCTCCCCGTGAAGATTCTGCTATGAATGGGCACACGGCGGGTATCTGGGGCACGTGAGGGGACTTTGAAAAGCGGAGTTGATCTGAGCGAAAGAATGTTGAAGCCCACGCATGTGGCTTTTCTGAACCCGGCGGGCCGGCCCCAGCCGTATAGGGACGTGCACTTGTGTCACAGGTGTGCGCAGCCAGGCACACAGGTGCAACCAGACACGCACGCGTGCCCTCCTGGGCTGGCTGCATCTGGAAGGCTGCCTGGTCTCAGAGCAGGTGCCAGGGCGTCCCAGGGTATTGTTCACCCCCACCCTGGGAGCACTTGCCTGCTGGGGAGGGGGCTTTGGACTCTGGGTTCTGAGCCCCCAGGACTCCTTGGGCCTTGGGCTAGGACTGGGAGGAGGAAGTGCTGGGGGAAGAGGTTAGGCCTGCTTCCCTGGGTCAGTGGACCAGTCCCAGCCTGCTTCTCTGTAATCTGGGGTCAGCTTGGCCCCCGGTCCCGCCCTCGGTGGCCCCCACCACTCTCCTGGCAGCCTGAAGCCGCTGCCCACGGCCTGGGGCGGCTGCTGTGGCCCAGGCTGAGTCTGTGTGTCGCCTCTTTTCCCTCTGCAGGGTTTCAGCAGCCTGAGGCTCAGGCCCATCCGCACACTGAGCTCTGCCCTGGAGCAGCTGAGGGGCTGCAGGGTGGTTGGGGTCCTGGAGAAGGTGAGAGCGGCCGGAGGGTGGGATGGGGCGGGGCGGGCAGAGAGCCTCCATGCTGCCCTTAGCAGCCGCCCCTCTCCTCCAGAGGGGACTGCGGCTGTCCCAGTGGCTTCCACCACCCCCACCCCCGCATCCACTGGGGAGGACATGGCAGGTGGGGGGTGGGAAGGACAGAAGGCAGCCAGACGACCCCTCCCAGAGTCCTTGGCTCAGACACAGAACCCCACTCCCCAGAGACTACACGCGGAAACCTCAGGGGAAACCGCACCCCGGGCGCCCGCCAGCACTTGCTGCCCTGGTGGCTCCCACTGGCCCCCACCCACACTCGCTGTGCACCCCCCAGCTGCAGCCAAGAGTCTGTCCCCACCGGACCCAGCTGAGAGCTTCCTGCGGCTGCAGTGTGCCTGTCTCCAGACACCTGTCTGGCACCAGCCGGGGCCCTGGCAACGCTGCCTCTTCCGCTCCTGGCATCCCCAGTCCCGCTCCGGGCCCCATTCGGTCTTAATTCAGGGCAGACAGGAAGACAGGGGAGGGCGTGCAGCCCTGCCTTAAGGCTGTCCCTGAGGGAGGAGGAATCAGAGGGAGAAAGAGGTCGAAGGAGGGCCGAGCCACTCTGATCCACCCCTGCGCCCCACCCAGCGCGCCCTGAGTGCTCTCGAGAGCAAGCCTTGCCCAGCCTGGCTCTGGATCAGCGTCACCTGGGCAGCTTCTGAGCGGGCAGAGGCCTGGGCCCCGCCTCCCACCTGCGCCCAGTGCTCTAACTTAAACCCCGGCCCTGGGGGAGGGGTGTGTGTGTGTGTGTGTGTGTCTGTGTCTGTGTGTCTGTGTGTCTGTGCGCATGCGCGGGGGCTGTGGCGTCTCAGGGCCTGTAGAGAAAAGGAGAGCAGGGTGTACTCCCCAGGCCCACGCGCAGACAACACACTGCCAGCCACGGCCAAGCCCCCTGCCTCTCCGAGCTTTGACTTCCTCATTGCCCAGCAGGGCGGGAATCTTCCTGCCAAGGCGTGATCTGGGATGGAAAGTAAAATCGTTTTTGGGAAAGGCCTGGCACAGGCTAAGAGGTTTAGCGCGTTGTGTGATGGCTCTGGATAGGAGTGACAAGAGCGCGAGGTGGCAGGCTCCCAGCGCCGGCCCTGCTGCAGCTGCTTCTCCCGGGCCCTGGAGGAGGCCCAGGCTGTCAGCGGAGGCCCCACCAGCTTCCAGCTGCGCTGGTCTCAGTGGCTGCAGCCTGGCCTTGGCCAAGCTCAGCCGCTCTCGCGGTAGCTGGGCTGGGTGTGACCGCCGCCATCCTCCCAGTGAGCTGTCTGTGAGTGTGAGGGGGCTCTCAGGCCGAGCTGAGTACGTTTAGGAAAGGTGGCTTAAAGTAATGTGTTATTTTGAAAATAATTATATATATATATATAAAAGATTTATTTATTTATTTATTTGAAAGGCAGAGTTACAGAGGCAGAGAGAGAGAGAAGTCTTCCATCCACTGGTTCACTCCCCAGATGGCCACAACGGCCGATACTGCGCCAATCCGAAGCCAGGAGCCGGGAGCTTCTTCCAGGTCTCCCACATGGGTGCAGGGGCCCAAGCACTTGGGCCATCTTCCACTGCTTCCCCAGGCCACAGCAGAGAGTTGGATCAGAAGTGGAACAGCCGGGACTTGAACCGGCGCCCATATGGGATGCTGGCACTGCAGGTGGCGGCTTTACCTGCTACGGCACAGTGCCAGCCCCAATAAATTTATATACTGAAATTTTATTTATTTGAAAACCATAGAGAGGAAATCTTCCATCTACTGGTTCATTCCTCAAATGCCTACAACAGCCAAGACTGGGTCAGGCTGAAGCCAGGAGCCTGGAACTCAATATGGGTCTCCCTCATTGGGTGGCCGGGAACCAAGTACTGAAGCCATCGCCTGCTGCCCCCCACAGGGGCGTTAGCAGGAAGCTGGACTTGGGAGTGGAGCTGGGACTTGAACCCAGGCCTCTGATAATGGATGGCAGCACTGAGTCAAACACTGCCCCTTACTTTTTTTTTTTTTTAATTATAGGAGTTCTCAGTACTTTTAGGATGTAAAGGCATAGAGGGAGGTCAGAGATGCAGAATTCCCAAATTTGTTTAAACCCAGAACACACATGTGCAAAGCGCCAGAGACATCTGCAAAACACAGCTTTAGCCAAGCCCTCTGCCTCCTTTACCTGTGTCGTGTGCAAGCCGGGAGCAGCCCTTTCCCTACGTTGGGAAACCGATTAGGGTGACTGGGCCTGGGGCCCCGGGGCCAGGCCTGGATGCGCTGTTGCTCTCGTTCTGTTCCGCGGCTCTACCTAGGCAGAGGGGGCCAACAGCAGCCTCGGACCCTTACAACCCCCCCCCCCCCAGCATGGATGAAAGAGCTTCTCGGGTGGTCCTTCAGTGAGGTGAGGCTGGAAGGGGGTGGGCTGGAGCAGCTGGGATGCGGAACGTTCAAGGTCTGGGGACCAGGGTGTTTGCTGAGCCTCATCGGGAGCCGCGTCCGCCAAGTCGCTTCTGGTTTGATTTGGCTCACGCTCGGGTTTGATTTTAACCGTTACCGGCACTTTAAAATGTGCAGATTTCACATAAAAGTCCAGATTTCCTAATTCTTTAGAAAAGTCAGAAAATCCAGCTGTGCTGGGCTCAGCCCCACGTGGCCACCGGGAGGGGGGGGAAGGGCGGCCACTGCAGATGGGTTGTGCCTGTCCCCACCCTGGGACCGTCCAGTTCCCCGGGTTGTTTTTTGATCTAAACCCCTTTCCCTCTCACCCTCCCAGCTTCTAGTAATCCGTTTACAACTCATCATTTACTGCAATTATTCTCTTCTTTTTGTTTCCTTTCATTCTGACTTTTCCACAAATTACTCTGTAATTGCAGGGTCTTCTTTGTAAACATTTTATTTCATAATTACCGTCTCACTGTCACAATTAATAAACCACACCGGTTTCCCCTATTTTAATTTTTAAAAAGATTTATTGTGTATTATTTGAAAGGCAGAGTGACAGGAGGGAGCGAGCGAGAGAGGGATCTTCCATCCACTGATTTACTTCCCAAGTGGCTGCGATGGACAGGGCTGGGCCAGGCTGAAACCGGGAGCCCAGAACTCCATCCGGGTCTCTCCCATATGGCTAGCAGGGGCCCAAGGACTTGGGCCATCTTCTTCTGCTTTCCTAGGCCACAGCAGAGAGCTGGACTAGAAGCAGAGCAGCCAGGACTGCAAGTGGAACTCATATGGGCTGGCAGCTTTGAGAGCAGCGGCTTAACCCTCTGCCACAGTGCTGCCCTCAACCCCTTTCTCTTGTGGACTGCCCAGTTCCAGGGGCTACTTGAAGCTCTGGGACCTGTGGGTTCCATGAGAGATCAGTGTCTTGGTTGTGGTTAGCTGCGTTTCAAGATCTGGATGGCCACACGTGACCAGCAGCACGTGTGTAGAGAGTGCAGGTGCGTGCTGCTGCCACGTAGCAGGAAGTTCCATTGTGCAGCGATGCATTCGTTCAGAAATGTATTTGAGAGACAGAGGGACAGAGAGAAAGAGAACTCCCATCTGCTGAGTTACTGCCCACATGCCAGGAGCAAGGAACTCAATCCAGGTCTCCCACATGAGACAGGGATCCAGGAGCCGGGAGCCAGGAACTCAATCCAGGTCTCCCACGAGGCAGAGACCCAGTTACTCAAGTCATCACAGGGCTGGCATTAGCAGGAAGCTGGAGTTAGGAGCCAGGGCCAGACATTCCCATTTGGGACTGACCTACAGATGGTCTTAACCGTGAGACTGACCACCTGCCTAGCCCAGTGCTGCATTTTAATAATCAGCTCACAGAGGCTAAAACAGGTGCAAAGGTGACCAGACAGTGCTCTTTCCGGGCCGCCAAGCCAAAGAAGGGCATTTCTCTCACTGGGTTGCATTAATAGGGAAAAGCCCCTCTGCTGCACTTTTGGGACAGAATGAAAGAGAAGAGGGTTTGAAACAAAGTCTCCCAGCATCCTACCTCACTCCAGATAATCACTGTTCACGTTTTTGGTCTAACTCTGGATAAATAGGGAGATTTCAGTTAAACACACACACACAATTGCTTCCATGTATGGGTCAAGTTTTATTTCTGGCTTCCGCACCCTTTGCAGCTGATTCTTGGACCCTAAGTCAGAAGGCCTTGCCCAGGACAAAGTGGTGGGGAATCCCACTTGGCAAGGAACGGTGGGGAATTATCTGGGGTGTCGGTACTTGTGGGAAACTCTGTTCTTCTAAATGACCCTGGGGTTTTTATCCTTTCTCTTTCAAACATTGCACAAGTTTGGTCAGGAGCCAGGGCCAGGCAAGGTGCCACCTCTCACTGTTGGAGGAGCGACCTCTGGTGGTGGGAAGGAACAGCTCACGCCTGCTGCAGGCAGGGCCCTGCGTGCTCATCCTGTCCATTGCCTTCCTGGGGAAGCTGGGGCTCAGGGGCATAAGCACTTGCCAGGGTCGCCTGGTTGAGCCACCGGCTGAGTCTGCATGGCTCCAGGATCAGGCTGTCTGGATTCAACACCTGACTCTTATCACTTCTTAGAATTGGGATGGGGCGGGAGGCAGGGGAGGAACGGCGCTGTGGTATAGCAGGCTAAGGAACGCCTATGGCTAAAGCCTGTGGCACCAGCATCCCATATGGGCACCAATTTGAGTCCTAGATGCTCCTCTTCTGATCCAGCTCTCTGCTGTGGTCTGGGAAAGCAGTAGAAGATGGCCCAAGTCCTAGGGCCCCCTGTGCCCACCTGGGAAACCTGGAGGAAGCTTCTGGCTCCTGGCTTCGGATCAGCCCAGCTCTGGCCATGGTAGCCATTTGGGGAGTGAACCAGCAGGTGGAAGATCTTTCTCTGTCTCTCTCTCCCTGGACAGGGCTGGTGTTACAACACCAGCATACCATATTGGAGTGCCAGCTGCTCCTCTTTCCTCCAGCTCTCTGCTAATGTGCCTGGAAAGGCAGTAGAGGATGGCCCAAGCTCCTGGGCGCCTGCCACCCACGTGGAGGACCCGGATGGGGTTCCTGTGTCCTGGCTTTGGCCTGGCGCAGCCCCAACTGTTGCAGCCATTTGGGGAGTGAACCAGCACGTGGACAATCTCTCTCTCTCTCTCTCTCTTTCTCTCTCTTTCTCTTCCTCTCTCACCGCCTTTCAAATAAATAATTCTTAAAAAAGAAAAAAAAGCAGGACTGTAGGCAACATAAACTCCTTAAATCTCAATTTCTTCATCAACTAAATGGGTCATTAATAGCTTGCACTTTGTAAGGCTGTGGGAATAAAATTAAACGTGTGTAAAGTGCTTAGCACGAGGCCGGCGCCGCAGCTCAATAGGCTAATCCTCCGCCTTGCGGCATCGGCACACCGGGTTCTAGTCCCAGTCGGGGCGCCGGATTCTGTCCCGGTTGCCCCTCTTCCAGGCCAGCTCTCTGCTGTGGCCAGGGAGTACAGTGGAGGATGGCCCAAGTGCTTGGGCCCTGCACCCCATGGGAGACCAGGATAAGTACCTGGCTCCTGGTTTCGGATCAGCGCGGTGCGCCGGCCGCAGCACGCCGGCCGCGGTGGCCATTGGAGGGTGAACCAACGGCAAAAAGGAAGACCTTTCTCTCTCTCTCTCTCTCTCACTGTCCACTCTGCCTGTCAAAAAAAAAAAGTGCTTAGCACAGAGCACGTGCTTTATAGCAAAGAAATGGGCCCTCTGGTCATGTTCTCTCCAGGTTACAGGTGTGTTCTGCATTGGCACAGGCTGCCACTGAACTTGAACTGTCCACTTCCGGGGAGTGCCCCTGGTGACCCTCGGGCTGCTCTGCGCCCATTTTGCAATTAAGAAGAGTGAGGTTCCGAGCAGCTGTGTGACCAGCAGACTGTCACGGGTCCCGTTAGGTGGAGGAGGGGGAAATCAGTGCACTTGCCCGAGAACCAAACCTTCCCTGACCCGAGGCTGCATCCTCCAATGCTGCCGGGGGCCTGGCCCCCACCCACGCCATGGCTGGCCAGGGACCTTGCTGGGGTGTCTCTAGGGCAGGCCAGCAGCCAAGAAGTCACAGCACCCGGGGGTGCTGCTCTTGCCTCCACAGGTCCCTCTTCTGGACTGAATTCTCTGTTTTTCTGCCCCTATGCACCGTGGGACCCCTTCTACAGCTGGGGCGCACCCCTGCCCACCACAGAGAAGAGTCAAGGGCCCAGCTCCAACAAGGTCCTGACCCCGCCATTGGCAGATCATGGGAGAGGGAGAGGGAGAGAGGAGGGCGGAGAGGGAGAGGGAGAAGGCTGCTCTCCAAAGAGCCTGCAGGGAGAACCTCATTGATAGGAAGCGGGGGAGCAGGCATTTGGCCTCGCAGTTAAGATGCCAGCTAGGATTCCTGCAGTTCGTCCTGGAGCGCCTGGGTTCTATTCCCGGCTCTGGCTTCTGCCTCCAGCTTCCTGCTAATACAGATCCTGGGAGGGGATGTCTGAAGTCAATGGGTCCCTGCCACTCACATGGGAGTCCTGGCTTGTGTTCTCAGCTCCTGGCTTAAGCCAGGGCCAGTCCCCTGGCCGTTGTAGGCATCTGGGAAGTGACTCAGCAGATGGGAGCGCTGTGTGTGTGTGTGTGTGTGTGTGTGTCTGTATCTCTGCCTCTCAAATAAATTAATAATATAAAAGGAGGGGGCGAAGCACAGCCCAGGAGCCCGGGGCCTCTCCAAGCCTCCGAAGCAAACATCCCGAGGAAGTGGCTGCTCCGAGGGCCCTTCCAGCCCTGACCCCTCCGACCCTGCAGGATGGCGGGGCTCCAGCTGAGGCATGGGGTGAGGGTTGATCCCCCGGGAATCAGGTGGAAGAGGGCCTCCAAAACTCCCCTGGCCTGGCCCAGCAAGGGCAGGGAGCAGGGACGTGCTTGTCACCGGGGATCCTTCCCCTCGGTGGCAGCTGAGGCTCTGGGCCACTCCCTGCATGGGTGGAGCTCCTGCTGTACCTCTGAGCTGCGCGGCACTCAGAGTGGTCCCTGCCCTCACAGAGGTCGCCGTTCAGGGGGGACACAGGACACTGGACACGGTGATGAGGCACCCCTGAGGGTGAGCCTACACAGCTCCAGACCCTAACCTCAGGAAGGCTTCCAGGAGGAGGTAGCACCAGAGCTGAGACCTGCAGGTTTAGCAGGGGTGGATGAGGAGGCGCCCTCAGTGCCTGCCCCCTGCCTTTCCCTGGTGTGAGTCTGCCTCAGTGGAGGAACCTGGGAGACTGGGCTGGGGCTGCGGAGCCCCAGGAGGGAGCAGGTGCCTTAGCTAGTGCCTTCTGGACTTTGGCAGGTGCAGCTGGTCCAGGACCCAGCCACCGGAGGGACCTTCGTGGTGAAGGCAGGTGCCGCCCAGCCCCTGCCATTGCTCGTTCTCCTGGGGGCGTTCTCAGGGCTGGTGGGACCCCCGCCCAGAAGCTGCATGGGAAGTGCACGCCCCTCCAAGTGCAGAGGCTGCATGTTCTGCCCTTGAGCACCCTGCTTGTCGTACACACACACACGTACACTCACACACATGCCCACACACTCACAAACACACTCGTGCACACACACACATACTCATGCACACAGATGCACTCACACATGCACAACTCATACCCACACTCATACACACACATGCCCACACACACATGTATACACATGCCTACATGCACTCATGTACACAGATGCACACTCACACATGCACACATACACAACTCATTCACACACTCATACACACATGTACCCACATGCCAACGCACACACGCACACTTGTGCACACACACACTCGTGCACATGCACACAGATGCACACTCACACGTGCACACATATACAACTCATGCACATGTGCACACACACAGTAATGTACACACACGTGCACCCTCACTACTTCACACTTGACCGGGGCAGGTTGTGGGAGGACCTGGGGTGCGGGCCAGGCCAGGGACGGGGGACAGCACTCGCTACTCAGCGTGGCTCCGACTCTTCATCTGAGTGCGCCTTACCAGCACAGCCCCTGGCCTGCTCCCCGCTGATCCGCCTGCCCTGCCCCTCCCCAGAGCCTGCCCAGGTGCCACACGGTGAGCCAGGAGCGGCTGACGGTCATCCCGCATGGGGTCCCTTACATGACGAAGCTGCTGCGGTACTTCGTGAGCGAAGACTCCATCTTCCTGCACCTGGAGCACGTGCAAGGTGAGAGCCGGCAGGGCCTGGCAGCCCGTGGGCCTGGAGGCACTGTCATCACCTGCTGCACCCTGGGCCAGGCGGGGCCGGCACCGGAAGCACAGCCGGGCTTTCCTGGGCTGCTGTGAGCCCCTGTGTGGTACCAGGAGCAGAGGACATCCTGGAGAGGACATGCACACCCTGGTGGGCCGGAGGGCATTTATGCAGCGGTCGCCTCGCTCACATTTCCTCCAGCGCGGGCTCACTCCATTGCTCTGGTCTGTTCCCATCCCTCCGAGTGTCCTCATGGGATGCGGTGAGTGGAGCTGTAAGGACAGGAAATGGACCACACACAGACATTCTCAATGGCGGGAATGATTTTTTAAAAAGTTGTGTATCTATCTAGCATCTGTCTACATATCATCTGTCATCTATCTTTCCATCCTGAACCATCTATCTACATGTATTTGAAAGCCAGAGAAAGAGAAAGAGAAAGAGGTTCACTCCCCAAATGCCCAGCACAGCCAGAGCTGGGCCAGCCAGCAGCCAGGAGCCCAGAGCTCAATCTAGGTCTCCCCCGGGCTGGCAGGGATCCAAGGACCCGAGCCATCGCCTGCTGCCTCCCAGGGTGCTCACCAGCAGGAAGCTGGAGTTAGACGCAGACGTGGGATTCTAGCCCATGTGACCTAACATGGGGTGCAGGCGTCACAAGTGGCGACTTAACGGCCACACCCAGCGCCTATCTGGGGTGGTGACATGGCATCATTGTAGACCGTGCCTGGCCTTCTTCAAATGTCACTGTGCCATAATCCCTTAAACGATAATTCCATGCCATTCAACACTGGTGAACCCACCACGCAAACCCAGGGCCTCACTCCCGCTTCCCATCTGCCCTGTGGTCGAGCACCCATGGCATGTGGAGGAGGGGAGGCTTTCTGGGCTGGGGGTGGGATGGAGCAGAGGAGCCGAGGCTGGACCAGGCCAGGCCCCGCCCCCCAGCAGCCCTGGGAGGAACCAACCGGAACCGCGGGGAGGTGGGTACGGGATGGACCTGGCGGCCACGTTCTTCCTCTCCCATCGGCCCGGCCAGGAGGCACCCTCTGGTCCCACCTGCTCTCCCAGGCGCGCCCCCAGCATCCTGGGCTCAGGCCCGGCTCCACGCAGGAGAGGACGAAGGCTCAGCTCAACGCCTGCCTCAGCCTCCGGACCCCGGCACGGCTCCCCAGCGGCCACAGCCCCGGGCAGGACACACTCCCCCTGGAGCCTCCGCGGACTTCTCAGAGCCTGCCCCCCGCCAGGGGGCCCCCGGCACCCCGGCCCCACAAAGCCGCTGACGGGGAGCCCACAGCCAGGACCACCTGCTCCTCCGACCTGCCACGGACCCCGGCTGGCCTCCTGCACCTTCACGCCAGGCGGGCTGGCCAGAGCTCGACTCCCGGGCTCCCTCGGGGGCTCTCTTGGGTTCACCAAGGGGCAGGCCGGGTGCTGAGGGCCTGTGGCCAGGGTAGAGGTCAGAGCCGCCCGCCGGCCGACGCGGCTGACCTGCGGCGCGGCAGGGCCTGGAGCGTGAGCGAGGAGCAGGTGCGGCGGTGGGCGGCGGAGACGCTGCTGGCCCTGGAGGCGCTTCACGAGCAGGGCGTGCTGTGCCGGGACCTCAACCCCCGGAACCTGCTCCTGGACCAGGCAGGTGGGTGCCCTGGCCATCGCCACCTGCCCTGCCCCTCAGGTGGGAGACCTGCAAATCCCCAGAGGAGGGAGCGCCCCACAGTCATGGGGTTTGCCTAGGACTTGGGGTGGGGAACATCTGGCCCGCGGACCATAGAAGCCCCACAAAATCATTTGGTCTGTCCCTGGAACTCAAAATTCAGTAAACCAGTGGGCTGATTTTTTTTAAAAAGATTTATTTGAAAGGCAGAATTACAGAGAGTGAGAGAGAGAGAGATCTTTAACCTGCTGGTTCACTCCCCAAATGTCTGCAACGCCTGGGGCTGGGCCAGGCTAAAACCAGGAGCCTGGAACTCCATCCAGGTCTCCCATGTAGGTGGCAGGGGCCCAAGCACTTGGGCCATCATCCGCTGCTTTCTCACATTAGCAGGGAGCTGGGGCAGAAGTGGGGCAGCCGGGACTCCAGCTGGCGCTCCTGTGGGATGCCGGCGTCACAGGCGGTGGCTTATCCCACTATGCCACTGCACCAGCCCCAGATATAGCAGGCTAATTTTGAAGTTGATAATTGTTGTGTATGGTCTGTGAATGATGTTACAGACATGCAAACGGCCTTGGTAGAAGCAAGGTTCCCCAGCCCCGTGCAGCAGGGCGCCAGCTCCCAGGGGCAGCCCGCCGTCTCTGCCTCCAGAGACACTGGCTCCCGCAGTGTCTGTGCTCGGGGGAACCCTGGAGCCCCCCCCAACCCTCAAAGCTGCTCAGTGACGGCAGCTCCCCCATCTCTGCCCCCGTGTTTCTCTGCACACACCGGACGAAAAGGTCACATCCGGCTCACGTACTTCGGCCAGTGGTCGGAAGTGGAGCCCCGGTGCAGCAGCGAGGCCGCGGACCGCCTGTACAGCGCCCCAGGCAAGAAGGGGCGCTTGGGGGCCTAGCGTTGGGTGCCTCTGTGTGGGCTGCGCCTGGGGGCTGTGGGTGTCAGAGGGGGCAGGCCGGGTCCCGGTGGGTGAGACTGGATGGGGGCGTTCTTGTTCCCACAGAGGTGGGGGGCATTTCTGAGCTGACCGAAGCATGCGACTGGTGGAGCTTCGGGTCTCTCCTGTATGAGCTGCTGACCGGCATGGTGAGTATGAGCAGGGAACAGCTGGAAGGGTGCAGTGTCATCGGGGCACAGGCCTGACTGCTCCCTCCTGCGCAGTGCAAATCCCCTCCCGGAGCAGGGCCCCTGGCCTTCCTCCTGGGAGCTCCCTGCAGCTCATCCGTAGCTGCTCTCCAGGGCTGCACCTCCGCTTGCACACCAAGCCCCTGCCTTGGCCCCAACAGGCAGTGTGCCGCGGCCTGCAGTCACAGGAGAAGGTCCCAGTGCTGTTCCCAGTAGGGGGCCTGCCTTGACTACAACTCTCATGGATGCTTCTAGCCAGCTGGCAGCTAGAGGGATCTGGATCCAAACCCCACACTCAGCCCCAATCCCACTCACTCAGTCCCTGAGCCTGCTCCTTGTCCCCCATAGCTGACACTTGTCAGTGTCAGGGCTGTAGCACAGGGTCTGGCACCCAGCCAGCAAAGGGCAGCTGCACGCGCCACCCTCGCCATCATGTGACCGCTGTCTGCAGCAGGGGAGGGGAGGGGGAATCCTGGCAGCCAGCGAGTATGGACCTTCCTGAGGCTGCTTCCGCAGAGCCCCGCCTGTGTCCTCCCAGGCACTGTCGCAGAGCCACCCCTCAGGAATCCAGGCCCACACCCAGCTCCAGCTGCCAGACGGGCTCAGCCGCCCCGCAGCCTCCCTGCTGACGGAGGTGAGATGACGGCTCAGCCTTTGGGTGGGGGGCGAGGGGGCAGAACCGCCTGCTTGTTCTCCACGCTGAGTGACCATTTTCTACATCCTGGGGTGGACATCCACCACCGATGTCCACTAGGACAAAACGGGGAACCCCCGGAGGCCTGCTCACACTGGCGGTGCTGGGGGTGTTCGCTGGCTCTCTCTGCAGTTGCTGCAGTTCGATCCCGCCAGGCGCCTGGGTGCTGGAGGAAGCGGCGTCAGCAAACTCAAGTCGCATCCTTTCTTCAGCGCTATCCAGTGGAGCACGCTGGTGGGGTAAGGGGCGGGGCAGCGGCCCGTCTGGAGCTCCCCCACCTCTGCCTGGGCCCAGGGCTGCCCCTCTGCCCCATGGGCTTCAGGCGAAGACTACAGGGCAGCTGCCCTTCCTGCTCAGAGGCGGTCATGGCCACTCCCGAGAAGCCCCAGGGAAGGGACAGCACGGCCAGCCCCGCTGCTGTGCCGCTGGCACCCCTGCGGCCAGCAGGCAGCAGGCACCTGTCGGTGCAGACCCACCGCGGCGGAGCGCGCCTGCTGTCACACCAGCTCTGAACCCCCGACCAGCTGCCAAGCTGCCTACTCGCTCACTGCCATGTGGTGCCCCCTTGGGAGACTTGGAGACTTGCGGATACTAAGCCAGGGCTGTCCTAGCCGATTATCAGTCATGCAACTAGCAGGCTGCTTCCACGAGGAGCCCTGGCCGCAGGGCTGGGGAGTGGGGCGAGTGGGGTTACAAAGATCCACTGCCCACTGCCGGCTTGCCCCCCCTTCCTCGTGGAGCCAGGGCAGGAGGGGTGATGTGCACCTTTGGCACTTTCTTCCTCCAAAGTCCGTGTCAGGGGAGAGGGGCGCCTGGGGAACCCAGGGAATCAGGAGGATGAAGGAGGCAGCTGAGACAGGCCCTGACCCCCAGGGCTCCCTTATCAGGCACTGGCTGCCGTTCTGCCCACTGATTCCAACCCCTCTGGGAAGGAGAAGCCACACAGCTCATGGACTGCCACTCAGACGTTCAGCCAGAGGCAACACGTTTCTGGGTTCTAAGCTGGGGCAAGTGGTTACCCCAGACAGTCCCCCAGGTTTGGGCTCCTCAGCACTCACCTTGTCACCGGGGTGTGGCCCGAGACAAACTCCCGGCAGACTGGGGCAAAGGACCGGGAAGGTGCACCCTGATTCTTTCTGGTCCTCACCTTCCTGGGGCTTGCCCAGCCCCCCAATAAAGCCTGCTTTTGCCTGCGGTGTCCTGGCTTTGTGAATGCAACGGGAGCAGCCTCCAGTGACTGCCCCGGAGCTCGAATGAGGGGCAGGAGCCACTGGGGAATGGGACAGGAGACCAGCTTGCAGCCGCAGAGCAGCCTGGGACTTCAGGGCAAGGGGTGGCATGTGTTCTGTCGGGAGGAGGAAAAGCAGCCTTGGGAAGGGGAGTCCTCCCAGGCCGCGACACGAGCCCCTGGGAAAACAGAGGCTCACGGTTCACCAGGGGCACTGCAGCCTGGCAGAGCTGGTTCAGGCTGCGTCCCTTCTGCTGCGGTCCCACGGCAGACCAGCTGCCTCATGGAGCCTAATCTGCTGACGGCCACCCAACAACTGGCACTGTTAGGGCTCAAGTCTAGGATACAGCAGTGCCAGCCCCGACAGGACGCACGGATGAGGCTAAAAATGCCTACTTTGTGGTTTATCCTGGACCTTGCCCTGAAGCCAGTTCTTTTGTACCCACCAGCTTAGCTCTCCCCTCTGGGACCCACTTCCTTCCTGTGGCAAACCCCCACTGAGGGAAGGCCTCAACACCAGCGACGTCAGCAGACTGTGGAGAGAGAAGCCAGGGTTGAGGCTAGACCCCACCAAGCCTGTTACCTAGGTAACAGCCGGCCTAGGGTAGCTGCCAGTCCTGCCCACTCGCACTGACCTCAAGCATGTGGTACCTGCTCGGCAGTCACGTCCAGGTGAGGGTACGGGGCCCCACCCTTCCCCGAACTCCAGGTGCACGTGGGCTTCTCCCAGGCAGGGACCGAGCCTTCTGACAGCAGACTGCTGGGCCAAGGGGCTCACTGGAAGGAAGCCAAGCGCAGGCACTACAGGGCTTTCCTGGTGGTCAGTGGTCAGCGTCTACCTTCTCCACTCCCCCTCCTCGCTGCTCACAAGCCTGCAGCAGCTGGGGCGGGTCAAGCTGAGGCCGGGAGCCAGAACTCCAGCCAGGTCTCCCGCTCGGGTGGCAGAAACTGCTTGAGCCAAGCTTCACTGCTTTCAGGTGCACGTTAGCAGGGAGCTGGATCGGAAGCCAGAAAGCTGGAATCAGACTGGCACTCTGATCCGTGATGCAGGTGTCCCGAGTGGCTGTCCCACCTGCAGCACCACAATGCCCACCCCTGGGGTCCAACGGTGGGCTCCCCCTTCTACAGCTGACAGAAGTACTGCGTAGGGGCAGGCATCGGGGCACGGGTTCAGCTACACCTTGGGACGCCTGCATCTCACAGCAAGAGTGGCAGGGATGGAATCTCGTCTCTGCTTCCAAGGCGGCTTCCAGCTGATGCACCTGCGAGGCAGCAGATGACGACCCAAGTACTAGGGCCTCTGACACCCGCGTGGGAGACCAGGACGGAGCTCCTGGCTGCAGGCGGCGCAGCCCTGGCTGTTGTGGATACTTGGGAAGTGAACCAGGTAACGAGGTATCGCCTTTCAAAAACAAAACAGCAAAGAGGACCAGGCATCACAGGCCAAGGCTGACAATCACCAGGACCTCAGTGCTGGGGACCTGTTTAACCTCAGTAACCAGAAGAGCGGAGATGCAGCAACCTTGGTTGAGAACATTTGCCCTTTAATTTTCATTCAAAATCCGATTCTTTAAATATTTTAGTTACAAGTTCTGAGCTGTGAAGATAGTCGTAGATGCTGCAGGCACTCAGTATTGGCTCCCACCCCTGCCCCCCTCCCCCCACCCCCAGGTCTTGCTTCTTGGCTCAAGATACAAAGTCTGCTCCTCACCCACCAATGGCCCCGGTGTCAAGTGTCAGCGGCCTCAGGCCTGGATCTGGCTGCAGCCATGGAGCCCAGAGCGTTCTCCATGCCCCAAGGAATTCCAGTGTCTGCCCAGACCCACGGGGCAGTCCCTCGGAGACGCCAGCAGTATTTCACCAGGCTACGCTAACACCTTAAGGCTGGTTTTCTCTCCGTCTGTCCTCTCCACCCCGAGATCTGTGTCCTGCAGAAAATAGCAGGCCCTCCCCTCCCCAGGCCACAGCAGGAAGATGAGAAGGGCCGCCCAGTCCACGTGTTTATGCCAGCTTGAGTCTGAGCACCAACCTGAGCTGGCCAGACGAAGCCTCCCCCCAACCCCGGCTCCACCAGGGCACCCTCTGTCCCACACCCTGTCCCACGCCCAGGATACGCTAGAATCTGCTCTAAATGACAGTGTTCCGGAGTGGCTCCTAGCAGCCGGGAGAGGGTTGGCATGACCACAGCTGTGACTGTGCCAAAACAAGCTTTCCTGGTGTGAGCCTACCACTGCTGAAGGCAGCCCGAGTCCCGCCCCGACTTCTGTTTATAACACAGGGCCTCAGGGGACCCCACACTCTCCACCCCCCATCCAGACCCCCTGGCATGTGCTTCCTGAAGAGGTAGAAGAGGCGCCTTAAAATCAACCACAGCTGAGAATGACAGTGCCACTGACACAGCGGGACACAGGCTGAGCGCGGAGGCAGGCCACCCCCGGACGGCTGGAGCAGCCTTGCACACAGGGACTTCCCACTAGCACACTGGCGGGTCTCTGCAGAGGGCAGCTGGCGGAAAGGCAGGAGTATCAGCGTGCATCCACGAAGGCGCTCTCCCTCTCTACAAGCCTAAGGATATAAGATATTTGAGGGTAAGAGGAGTGAGCAGAGAGAGAGAGAGCCTGGCAGGAAACCAAGAAAAGACCTGTGACTGCTGGTTTACATAGTGCCTGGCTTTGAGGCCAACAGCATGTGCCTGCCTGTCACCAGGCTAACCCAGGACCCACAGGGGACAGGGAGAAGACTGGTTTTCAGTTCCTGCATGGTCGATTTGTAGGGCGTGCGGCTTCCTCCTAAAGGTCCAGGAGGAGGACTCTGGGATCCTCTACTGCTGCCTTGATTTTTCGGAGAAAAGTCACAGCCTCTCTACCATCAATCAGCCGGTGGTCGTAGGTCAATGCCACAAACATCATGGGCCGCACTTCCACCTACAGAGAGAAGAGGTCACAGGTTTGTCCCCTGCGTCAGAGAAAGCCCTGCGGAGGGAGAGGTGAGAAAGCAGAGACTCCAGGAAGCAGCCCAGTTTCAGAGCCTTTCCCACTCATGTGGCCTCTGGGTACTGCAAACCCACCCCAGCCTCCCCAGCGCAGGCCCAGAAGCAAAGTCTAAGAACGAAGCAGCAGTGTCCTCGCCCCCTCCGTCAGCACTCCGCCCACTCTGCCCCGCCTCAGTCCCCGCCTCCAGGGCGGGCTTCCTTCCAGTTCTCCCTGCCTGCAGCAGCTTTTCAGGATTACCATTTAAACTTTTTTTTTTTTTTTTTTTAATCTCAACCTAGGGTCCACAAATCCTCTGAGACAGTATGCAAAGCTGGGGGTGTGGGTTTTTGTCCAAGGAGAGCTATGGTTTCTGGATTCATAAAGGAATTAGTGGCCCCAAAACGTTCTAAACACGGGAGTCCCGACACTTTTTTCTACCAACACGGGAGGGTATGTTGAAAAGGTCATGGAAAATGGAATTGAGAGATGAGTTATTCTGGTGCAAAACTTTTGAAATCTGTGCATAGTTTTTTAATAATATACATTTTGCATAACCTTTTGGAAGATCTCTTGTATCTCCCAAGGGCCAGTTCAGGCCCCCTGACTCCACTCACTGACCTCGCCCGACTTCTACTCCCAATCAAGCGTGCAGCCTGGCAGCTCAGGCTCTGGCTCTGCTGCCCGCTGTTGCCCGGGGCTGGGGACCAGGCTCTTCTCTCCCCCCGGCCTCCAGCACCCAGGGGAGCAGCTGGCTGCCCCCAGGTGACGGGGTGAGCCTTCCTAGCTCAATGGCTCTCAAGCTTCAGTGAGAATCATCTGCACATCTCCTGCAGGTCTGGGGTAGGGTCCAAGAATGCGCATTTCCAACAAGTTCCCTAATGATGCCCATCCAACGGCACACTGTGAGAACAGCGCCTCACCACCATTAATTAGAAACTGAGAAATGGAACTGAGGCCTGCAGTTAGAGTGAATGCCAGCTAAGCAGCAGTTAGCTGGCTTTCCTTCCCATTGTCACCCAGCCATCAGGACCTTAGAAATGAAGGTGCCTACCTTGCCTCCCACGGCCACTGGCCTGTCAAAGATGGCGTGCATGCCCAGGATGGCAGACTGAGGGGGGTTGATAATGGGTGTTCCGAACAGTGAGCCAAAAACACCTCCATTGCTAATGGTGAAAGTACCTCCATCCATATCTTCAATGGCAAGTTCATTCTTTCGAGCCTAAAAAGATTTCATAATTCAAACATTAAGCTGGGGCTGGCACTGTGGCATAGCGGGTAAAGCCCCTGCCCACACTGCCGGCATCCCATTTGGGCACCAGTTCAAGTCCTGGCTGTCCCACTTCTGATCCAGCTCTCTGTTATGGCCCAAGGCCATGGGCCCCTGCACCCACGTGGGAGACATGGAAGAAGCTCCTGGCTTCGGATCAGAGCAGCTCTGGCTGTTTGCAGCTGTCTGGGGAGTAAACCAGTGGATGGAAGACCTCTCTCTCTCTCTGCCTCAGCCTGTCTACAACTCTGCCTTTCAAATGAATAACTAAATCTTTAAAAAATAAACAAACAAACAAACATTAAGCAGCCAACCCAGCTTCCATCATCCCAATAAGGTGCAGACAGCTCTGAGAACACAGTACAGGCTCTGGCTCCCACATGACAGCCGTTCAGCTGAGGGAGCAGCGCTCAACAAGAGAACGACACAATTCCATAGTCAAGGACTCAGTGGTGAGAGTGTGCTCACCAGCGCGCGCTAAGCTCCAACAGACACCTGCACGTAGCTGTCTCCAACTCCGCCTTCCTCAGGGGCTACACATTTCTTACAGAACAGAGGCAGCCTCCAGCGACTTGGGCTGCTTGCCGGCAAGCCCACCTCCCACAGGCTCCTCCCACACCTGCCCAGCAACTAATACACACACTTCTTCCTACTTTTACCTTCTCTCCCAGTTCACTGATGGTGCGTTCAATATCAGCATAATTCATAGTTTCCACATTCCTGATGACAGGAACCACCAGACCCTGAAGGGAGTGAAAAGGTGTTTCAGCTGCAGATCAGCAGAACCCTTCTAGTCCCGAGTCCCCTGAGTCAAGGTAACGGTCTTCCCTGCCCCGTACGTTCAATACTCAGGGTAATTAACAAGAAGCCTCAAGCATTCAGGCCTGCTGTGGAGAACGCGCTATGGCAAGCAGATCACTGTTACCCTTTCCCTCCTAAAAATACGGAATTGCAAACCATCTCTCCCACGCACTCCACATCTTCCCAAGGCTAAGGTGAGGGTCTCAGATCAGTGCTCCCCACCTCCTGCCTCAACATACCCGTGGTGTGGCCACCGCAACACTGATGTCAATATAGTCCCTGTACACCACCTCTTTGGTTGAATCATCAATCACTATGAGAGAACACACATGTTATATATAACTCCCCAGGTCAAGGATATGGGTAGTGTTTTAGCAACAGAGTAAAAATCTGCAGTGCTGGATACAGCGTGGCTGACACCCGACATGAAACGGCCCTGCCTCACAAGTAGCACTTGGCACTCCACGTGCTCCCATCCTGAGCAGTGCCAACAGCTCCCCAGGCCCCTGGCCGAGGCTGAGTGATGGATGGCGACATGCTGGCCCTCACAGGATGCCAGGTGCACGCTACATTCCTGTGGACTCGCTCTACTCAAGCCCTCCCCTAGCAGAGAATGGCTAGGGTTACTAAGTGCTCCAGAAAGGCTAATTAGCAAAGGAAAGGGGGGGTAGGCCTGCTGCCCACCGCGTTTCCCTGTCAAAGAGGGGAAGTGGGAAGCCTCTCTCCAGGGGACTCGAGAGGAAGCAGGTGGTCCGGCTGCTAGGCAGAGACATAACCAGCAGCTAAAAATTTACCTCTAGAACACCTGAGAAAACAAAGGTCTGGGAATCTTTGCCACAGAAAGTCCATACTGCATCGTCACATACGACACCCAGGGAAAGCACGTAGAGCGAAAAAGAGGCCCAGAGAACTTCCAGGATGTCAGCGAGTATGGGCAGGCAGAAGAAAGGGGCGCAGGACAGCGACGGCGAAGACCGGTCAAGAAGGCACAAGAATGGGAAAAGTGAAGGAAGGGACAGCCCTCCCACCTACCTAGAGCACGCCACTCAACGGAAACGACTAGGGCTTCCCGTTCTAGTTCTTTAGGGACCCTGGCATCGCTGAGGATTGCCCCCTTGCCACTCTTGCAGTGGACAGGAAGAAGAGCACTGCTTGTTAGGTCAACACTTCAAGGACACAGGGGAGTAAAAAGGAAAGAGTGAGTACCCAGTCCAAGAAGGAGGGACACGAGTTCCCGATGAGGCTCACTGACGCGAGACTGGAGGGCTGGGCTGCCCCGCAGCTGCTGCTACCCTGGGTAGAGAAGCCTGCTCTGTCTGGCAGAAGAGGAGAGAGGACTCAAGACGCCGTCTGAGGAGGGCAAGGCCAGCGGAAGCTGTTGGCGTTCCCACAGCTAGGACAGCAAAGCCTTGGCGCCTGAGGCCGGCTGTGGCGGCAGGTGTGCTCCCACGGCCACCTCCCAGCCCACTGCAGTCCTGGTCACGGGGAACTCACCTGCATTCACGATCGGCTGCTCCTGCAAGGCGAAGGCTGAGGCCTTCACAAACGCCGACATGAAGCCGAGCTTGAGGTTATGTTTCTTCAGAAAAGCATCTTTGTGCCGAGCTCTCATCTCCTGGATGTTACTGTTGAGACAGGTTACAGGACACTGAGCACAAATGAAACCGGGACTGGATCTTCATACTGGTTTTTACCCAAGGACACAACCGGGGAAGCTTCTCCCTCACCCCAGACCATCTATCCAAGGTCATGTTTTCAAACAGCCCACCAGAGGGCCAGTAACTTGGTTCCTTTACAAAAACTGGCTACAAAGGATTCAAGCACCTTCATGTTCCGTAAGTCACAGATGTCAGCGACAGAAAATATGAACACGCCATCACACAGCACGCCAGCATCCTTGCCCTGAATGAGAAAGTCATTTCTGACTATACTAAAATGATGAACTATCTACCCTTACAGCCCACAAAGCAAACTTGTTTCTTATTAGAATTCTTTTTCAAAAAGCCACCAACCCTGATTATGACCTCCTTGCGACATTCCTCCTAACTCCTCATTAGTGGAGACCAAAGAAACTCATGGGTAGAAGTGGGGGCTCCGTGTGAACAGTCAAGACTGTACACGGGAGGACACGGCTCAGTCTGTAGATCTGCTCATCTCAGAGCTGGCAGCTCCATCCACAGCTCATTTACATGGGAACTGACACCCACCACATGTGGAGGTCAGGGCTGGGCACCAAGACACAAAGATAAGAGAGACACAGCTCCTGCCTTTAAGATCAGTTTAATGAAGGCAGGTACTGGTGGTTATTAAGCTGCCATTTAAACACTTTTGTCCCATATCAGAGTGCCAGGGTTCAAGTCCAGCCTCTGCTTTCGATCCCGCACACCAAGAGGCAGCAGTGGCTGGCTCAGTGTCTGAGTCCGTGTCACCCACACAGCGTCAGCCTGGCCCAGCCCTCACTCTGGGCGGAATTTGGGAAGTGAACCAGCAAATGGGATATCTTTCTCTGGCTTTGATAAAGAAAAACATTTGTAAATTAGTTTAATGGACATGGTTTCCTGGGTATTTAGAAAAGCGGCCCTGTGTGGACCCAGGCTCCCCTTCAGATCAAGCAGCAGGGCCTCTGAGAAGCCTCCGGAACATGGACAGCCTCTGCTCTGTCAGAGCTGGGTGTCTCACACGCGCACCGCAGGGTTAGTGGCAAAGTCCTTCCCATCACTCTGCTGCTGAAACTCTGATATCCATCAGAATAGGGTTCCGTAATGGAATTGAATTTAACTTTATCTCAGGTCCAAATGCTCAGTTCTCCCCTTCACTCTATAATGCTCTAATTCAACATTAGGAAGAAACAGAAGATGCGGCACAACTTTAACTGCCCCCTTCAGACCTTCTGTTTCTGAAAAAGGAAGTTTTCCCAGGGAGACTGATTTGGTTTAGAATGTTTGTTTTCCTGAGTCTAACCTTATTTAGTGCTAGGATTACCACCCTAAAGACATTACTGGTTCCCAAGATACAAGAGCAGCAGAAGAGGGAAGGCGAAGTGATAAACATCTCTGCTCTCAACCCTGCCCGAATGCGATTGTCTCGTCATTAAGCAGTTTCTATTTCAGAACTCTGCCCTCGGAGGCGGGGGCTGGGGCACAGGGGAGAGGAGGCGTTCAGAAAGGCCCCGAAGAGGGGAGCTGACCAGCACAAGACCCAAAGGACACTCGATCTAAACCAGATTACTTTGCACCAAGACCCCAGGCCTGTTAAGTGACACCCTGATTAGCTGCTGAAAGGAGGTCCAGCCACCACACTTAGCTTCCAATCAAAGCTGCGGGGGCAACAGCATCCTTCAAGGCCACAAATATTTACATGTTTTGTCTTAAGAAATGGGGTAGAATTTCAAAGTCCAATTCAATTTGTGTACAATTTGGGCCTAATGCGCTGAAACCTAAGCTGCAGGCTCTGTGTTCATCTATCAAGGCCCTGTGCACCATGACAGGAGAGAAATCCTGGGCTGAAATGACATCCAATGTCTCGAAAGCTTCCCCAGCAGAACGGATGACGTCTTGTGAAGCCGGCCACACAGCCCTGGCTGGTGAACAGTGCCACGGGGCACAGTCAAACCCGTCCTCTCTATTTCCAGACCCTTTCCAAAGGAAGACAAAATTTCCTAATGAAAAGACTCGCAGCCAAGAGATGACCTGAACACTGATGATTTGCCTCCTGAATCCAATGTAAACTCCGAACCTGGCACTCAACACGTTCTGCACTGTGGATCCACGGTTACTTACTGTCCTTTCCCATACATACTGCTCACCAAGGCAGCAATGATTTAGGACTATCTTCCAATGTGTTTTGTGCTTTCCTGCCTGGTAGGGTCCACACTGTTAACATCATCTGTTATGACCATTCTACAAATGCTACTTAAAGGCTTTATCAAAAGTTTCCTCCAGGAAACCCTTCCTGACCTACCCTTGTTACCTCTGCTCTCAGCCTCACAAATGATCTCACTTTCTTCTCCACTTCAAACTCAGTTTTATGCTTCAGATACTTATTTTTCTAGAGTCTACTTTATGTTCACCCGAATCAGATAGAAAGCTCTAGGAGGCTGGGACTCTTGTTCACTCATTACGGCCCTCTTGAATTCCACAGAGTAATTCCTTATATATAGCTAGGAAAAACAAAAGACATGACAACCTAGGTTCCTCACTGCCTGATTCCAAGTTACTCAGTCACACGCATAAAGAGCAGTCACTGTGAGGAAAAGGCAGGATGAGGTGCCCTGGTTCAGGGACTGCTGGTAAGGGTTCTCCAGCCAAGGGATGGAAGAACCTAAAAGCTCCTGACTCTTGCCTTTGGATCAGCACAGCTCAAGACATTGCAACCATTTGGGGAGCAAACCAGTGGATGGAAGATCTCTCTCTCCCTCTCTCTCTGTAATTCCCTCTCTGTAATTCCGCCTTTCAAATAAACTAAAATAAATAAATCTTAAAAAAAAAAATAATATTACTGGGGTCGGCACTATGGTCTAGTGGGCTAAGCCTCCACCTGTGGTGCCAGCATCCTGTATCAGCGCTGGTTCGAGTCCCAGCTGCTCAACTTCCGATCCAGCTCTCTACTATGGCCTGGGAAAGCAGAAGATGGCCCAAGTCCTTAGGCCCCTGCACCTGTGTGGAAGACCCAGAAGAAGCTTCTGGCTCCTGCCTTCAGATTGGCTCAGCTCCAGCCGTTGTGGCCATTTGGGGAGTGAACCAACCGATGGAAGACCTTTCTCTGTGTCTCTCCCTCTATCTGTAACTCTACCTCTAAAAAAAAAACAAAAAAACAAAAACAAACAAAAAAATTACTCGCTGGGGCCAATGCTGTGTGGCCTACCGGGTAAAGCACCACCTGCAGTGCCGGCATCCCATATGGGCGCCGGTTCTAGATCCGGCTACTCCACTTCCGATGCAGCTCTCTGCTATGGCCTGGGAAAACAGAAGATGGCCCAAGGCCTTGGGCCCCGGCACCTATATGGGAGACCTGGAAGAAGCTCCTGGCTCCTGATCGACCCAGTTCCAGCTGTTGTGGCCATCTTGGGAGTGAAGCAGAGGATGGAAGACTTTCCCCATCTCTGCCTCTCTGTAACTCTGCCTTTCAAATAAATAAATAAATCTTTAAAAAAAAAAATTTCAGCTTCATTTGTCAGAAATCCCAAGATTGGGTATAAAAGTCTAAAAGGCTCAATTTTAAGGCCACAGCAGAGACAGGCAAGGTATGAGGAAAGCCCACTACAGGATGAGACTAAGAGGTCACACTCTAAGTCAACAACAAGCACTGTAGGAAGTACCTCCCCCATCCCCCGACCCCAATAAAGCTAGTTTTGGAATCGGCACTAGGTAAGAACTGGGCAAGTTCCAGTGCTCGCCATGGAACAGGAGGGACCGGATACCCCACCTCATGTCAATCTCATTGAAAGTCGTCAGCATCGCACACGTGTTCTGGGCCTCCTTCAGACGCTGAGCGATGCGCTGCCGCATCCTGTTCATTTTCTCCTGAAAGTGAAAGTGGAGCAAGCACTGAGGGTCCAGTCTCCCCATAGAGCCACAGAGGGAACTCGGCTTGCCAGGCGTGGGGGCGAGAACTGACCCCAGGATCTGAGCACAACGCGCACCTGCTGCTTCCTACTTCCCGCTCTGAACAGAACAAGAACACACAGCCAAGACTGCTCCCTCAGATGGGCCCCAAGTTTGACTAAGAATGGAGGCCCAGGAAATGGTCTGATTTAAAAACCAAAGCCGAATTATTAAAAGGAAGAATGTGGTATAGTTTTAGCCAGCCCAAGAATTACAACAGGAAAGGCAATTTCTGTTTATAAAGACTTGCATGAGAATAGCGGAACCTCACACGCAACAAACTTGAGGCATTCTCAGGCAGGCGAACCCACACTTTTGACCATACTTCCTTGAGGTTTTGTCTGCCCCATAGCTACTGCTTATGTGTAGTATCCCCTAGCTACAGCCAAGTATTCCGGAAGTATAGGAATAGAACACTCTGGAAACTACCTCTCTGAAGTGGGTATCGTCGTAGGAGGTAGAGGGTGTGTTACCAAACTACCACTCAAGGCATTTCACTGGTAGCATAATTCAGTGGAAAAACCACTGGACAAGTGGGCACAAAACCTCAGGTTCTAGTACTATCACTTGATGGTTACAAGTCACTTCCTGAACTCTGTTTCTCTGTCAAGGCCAAGGGAGTAAGCTGCTAGTCATACAAAGGTAGGTACCACCTGCCCACACTCCGCTAACCTCTGCGTCTTCCCTCAAGTGGTCCTCAGAGGCTTACCCGATGTTCGGTCCGCACACCTGGTTCAGCTAGTGGAGCGGCAGCAGTGGGTTTTACTGCAGACACTGAGAAGAGAGGGTGCAGCTCATGAGAGAGGGCAGGGAGCATTGAGGCTGAGTGCACGCCAGTGCCTTCAGAGCGCACTGACGTTTAATCCTGAAGACAGTCAGAGCTGTGTCAGCAGCACCTGACTTCCCAGATGCACATCTGCCCAGGGAAGTTAAGCGATTAGCGTAAAGTAGTCAGAGTCGGCAAACAGAAAGCTGGGAGAAAAACCAGGTCTTCAAAGTTCACACTTTTGTCTACAAACAGCCAAACTGGCCTGTTCAGGGCCATTAGTCTCAGACTGCACTGTGAGGTGCACAACATTACGCAAGAGGGAGAGGTTTACCCGGTTTGCTGGAAGGAGGCTGTGAGGGTGAGGGCACGGGTGGCATCCGAGTGGGCATGGGGGCTGCAGGGGGAGGAGGAGCTGCTGATGGTGCAGGTTCTGCTTTTGGGGCTGCAGCAGGGGCTTCAGCTGGCTTGGGCTTAGCAGGAGCAGCTGGAAAACAAGAAAACCAGATGCCATCGGCACTGTCTGGAATGGAAAGCAACCCAATCACAGTTAAGTTCAGGGCAAACGCTGCATCTCCAATGAATTAGCAAATGTCTACTGGGCATTTGCTGTACACAGGAACTATGACAAAAGTACTCTGCTCCATTCCCCAGGGTCCCAAAATGTCCTGTATCAGATAACTCACTCAATTCAACTGCCTTCCTGATGTCAAATATCCACTGATCATCAAATTCAGCAAATACATTCAAATAATCTACTAAGCCTAAGGTAATCTCCAAGCAAGCAAACAAACAAAAAAAAACCAGGCAATTTAAAATGTTGAAATATGCATACGTTTACTATACACTTCTAATTATGGTAATACTGATAGTCTTATCAACACTATATGTGGAACAATGTTCTCAGCTCTTTAAAAAATAAAAGTTTAATTAGGGGCTCCTTAAACTTAACAACACAATGCATTTCATCCAGAATGACTCTCACACTCAGAAGATATTATATCCAGTTTTACACTTAAATTAGAAGAACTTGGAGCCAGCACTGTGGCACAGCAGGTAAAGCTGCCGCCTGAGATGCCAGGATCCCATAAGGGTACCAGTTCATATCCTTGCTGCTCTACTTTACAATCCAGCTCCCTACTTATGGTCTGGGAAAAGTAGTGGAAGACAGCCCCTGCTACCCATGTGGGAGACCCAGAAGCTCCTGGCTTCGGCCTGTCTCACCCTAGCCATTGTGCATCTGGGAAAGGAACCACTGGATGGAAGATCTCTCTGTAGCTATTTCAAATAAATAAATAAATAATCTTATAAATAAATGAAAGAACTTTCCTTTGTTCTGACAGTAAATGAATGCTAAGATGGACTTCCTCAACTGGAAGACTCATTCTTATTTCCTTGCCTGCTACTATAGTTTTTTCTTCTTTGAGCTTCTTTGATCGTGGCCTGATCAACCTCAATGGCCTGTTTGACTATGTTAATAATTAAAAAGAAACAAACTTTGGTATTACAGCACTTAATGAAGACTCAGAAAATCAGTTATTTTCTATGTCTAATACTGACTGAGATTCAGCATACATTCCTTTTTCATTTCTTTCCAAGGAAAATACTAACCCTTCCTACAGATGTTGGAATACATATGAAAAGAAACTACTCCATTCCCCACAATTAACACTATGGAGTCCTGCCTCTTCTCACTTTAAAACAGTGGCTCTCAGCCCTGGCTGTGTATCAGAATCACTTGAAGAAGCATTAAAAAAAAAAAAAAAAAACAAACTATGACGGAGCCCCAGGATCTAATAAACCAGGACATGGGGCCTAGTCATCTGCAATACTTTAAAAAGGTCCCATGTGATTCTGATGCCGCGGGGGGGACAGAGTTGATAGAGTTTGGGGATCATTATCTTTAGAATCTTCTAAATTTCTAGTATACCTTCAAGAAAAAATTCCGGGGCTGGTGCTATGGTGCAGTGGGTTAAGCCAGCGCTGGTATGCCATATGGCCGCTGGTTCAAGTCCCAGCTGCTCCACTTCCAATCCAGCTCCCTGCTAATATACCTGGGAAAGCAGCTGAAGATGGCCCAAGCACTTGGGCCTTTGCACCCACATGGGAAAACCTGGATGAAGCTCCTGGCTCCTGACTTCAGCCTGACTGTTGCAGCCATTTGGGGAGTGAATCAGCGGATGGAGGATGGATCTGTGTCTCTCCTCCTCTCTCTGTAACTCTGCCTTTCAAATAAATAAATTTAAGAAAAGAAAAAAAAATCCAAGGCAGGCATTGCTGTCGCTTGGGATGCCTACAACCTATATCACCGAGCCTGGTTTGCTTCCAATCCAGCTCCTGCTCATGTGCCCAGAAGACAACAGACTATGGTTCAAGTATTTGAGTCCTGCCACTTGCACAGGAGACCCAGATGGAGTTCTTGGCTTTTGGCTTCTGCCTGGCCCAGCTCTGGCTGTTGCAGACATTTGAGAGTAAACCAATGGATGAATGATGTCTTTTTCTTTAACAAAAGAAGAAAGAAAGGTCCATGGAGAGGGGCCGGTGTTGTCATGCAGCAAGTTAAGCCTCCACGGTGACACCGGCATCCTGTATGAGTCCGGTTGATCCTGGCTGCTCCTTTTCTGATCCAGCTCCCTGCTAATGCACCGGGGAAAGCAGTAGAAAATGGCCCAAGAGTCTGGGGCCCTGCCACCTACATGGTAGATCTGGATGGGGTTCCAGACTCCAGCCTTTGGCATGATCCAGCCCTGGCCATTGCTGCCATCTGGGGAATGGACCACAGGATAGAAGATATCGTTGTGAGTATGTGTGTCTCTCTCACTCTCTCCCTTTCTCTGCGTAACTCTGTGTTTAAAATAAATCTTTTTTAAAAAAGAAACAGCCTTGAAAAGAATAGATTGAGGTTTTGTAAAAATACCCCTTTCTTCCTGAATTTAAGGCTCACACTATTATTATTATTATTATTATATCCCTCTCATCCTCTCAACTAAGGACAGTTGGAATATTTGGAGTTTGAGGGAATTATAAGTTAAGCTCAGCCCCAATCCCAGTAGGGAACACTGGAGACCTTGACCACCAGGAGAACTCCTTTACCACCAGTTTTCCTGAGCGTGAAGAGAGGGGTGCCTCCTTCAACCTTCCCCCCATCAGGTACCAAAAGAGCTTCAATCACGCCATGGGCCGGTGATGGAACCTGCACAGATGTCTGGAAGAGGGAGACAGATGGACAGTCTAAATTTTTATGCAGCATTAGAAAATTGTATAGAATCTCCAATATGAATCACTAGAGGTACAATATAGTTATATAAGACCCTGCACGTAGAAATACCTAAGGCCACACTTCCAGGGCAACAGTGATCACAGGGGTGGGTGTTAGGGCACAGTGGGCTCTCCTGTCTCTTGGGATGTTTTCATCCCCTACTGAGGAGCCTGGATTCAAGTCCTGGATCTGCTTCCTGCTAATGCACACCAATGGGAGGCAGCAGATGATGGTCTAAGTACTTAGGTTCCTGCCCCTCATGTGGGAGACCTGGATTGAGTTCTTAGCTCCCAACTACAGCCTGGCCCAGCCTTCGCTGTGTGGGCATTTGAGGGAGTGAACTAGGGGTTGGGAGATCTCACCCTCCCTCTTTGTCAATCTGATTTCCAATAAATAAATAAATAGAACAAAAAAAAGTGATCACAGTCCATGCTACTATGAAGATTCACTCCTTCTTATCCTTTCTCAGAAACACTAAGGCAAAAATTCAGTTAATGTGTTTCCAAGTGATATACAACAAAAACTAGAAACAGTTCATGTATCACAAAAAAGCGAGGAGACTAAAGCTACCCAAGTATACAGAAGAATCTAAAAATAAACCTGAAAATTTTTTTTCTTTTAATGAACTACGTCAGTATTTTGACAACTGAGGTTAGAGTTGGTTAAAAATTTTCTCTAACAGTTAAGTCCCTGTCTCTTTCATTAGGTTAGGAGACCAAAGGCAGACCACAAAAAATTGGCATAAACAGGACAAGCCCACCTTATCAGTTTCAATCTCACAAACCACTTCATCTTCTGCGACTGTGTCTCCAACAGCTGAAAAGACAACCGAAGACTACCTGTTAGGGGGAACCTCTACTAGACACAAAATCCCTTTCGGTACACGGATTCCAAAACCCCTTTCCTCCGGGACCAGGGGAAAGTGCAAGGGCGTATGTGCAGAGTAATGAGTGGAGCTGGAGGGTCTACTGGGGATCACGGAGGGAAGGGGAGACTTTCCGAAGTGAGAGGAAACAAAAATCTTACCTTTCTCCCACCTGACATCTCCCTCTGTGACAGATTCTGCAAATGCTGGCGTTTTGACTGTAATCACATCATTCTCTAGGAAAAAAGGAAAGTCACAAGTAGTCCATTTTTTTTTCCATTTTCATGTTTTTCTTTAATTAAACTCAGCCAGTTTTTGCTCTTCCCATTAAAATTCCATTCCCAGGGTGGGTGGGCTTCTGACTTAGGGGTTAGGCTGCCAGTGAAGATGCCTGCAGCCCACATCAGAGTGCCTGAGGGGTCCCACGCCTGACTCCAGCCTCCTGTTAATTCAGACCATGGGAAGCAGCAGGTGATGGCTCGGGTAATGGAGTTCCTCCCACCCATGTGGGAAACCTGGATGGAATTCCTGGTTCCCCTCTTCGGCCTAGCCTAGCCCCGCCCCGATCATTGCAGGCATTGGAGAATAAATCAGTAGCTGGAAGCTTGCAGTCTCTCTATAAACAAGCAAACACAAAAACCCCACCCCAAGAAGGCAGGGAGCTGAAGGTAGGTACTTACTGCACACAGCTGTAGTTCTGAAGAAGCGAACGCTGAAGACACTAGTGTTGTTAAAGCTACAAAGGAAATGCCAACTTTAATTCCTAAAGCAGGTAAACCACTCATATTTTAGTTCAGCTAAAATACCATGGGCTGCTCCCCCCTTAAAACAGTGATTGTTGACCAGCGGTGCTCATCAATGTCACACAAAGTGATTTTTCCAACATACACGTGTCCCACCAGCAGATTCTGCCTGGGCGGTAGATTCAGCACAGCCTGATGGCCTGGGTGCCTTGAGCAGTGTGCCCCGTGATGCAATGGGTGCCAGTTCTTACAGAACAGAGATTTAGATCTGGTTCTCTGAAGAAAAAATAAGTACCTTGGTCCTTTGTAGACCCACCAAAAGGATTTAACCTCCTGATTAGGTTTCCTTTTTAACTAACCACATCCAAGCAATACATGGCAAGCCCTCAGGGCACATGCCACTGTGCCACATATAACAGAATCTGTCTTTAAGATTACAGATTTAGATAAAGCAGCAAGATAGCTGGCGCCACAGCTCACTAGGCTAATCCTCCGCCTTGTGGCGCCTGCACACCGGGTTCTAGTCCCGGTCGGGGCGCTGGATTCTGTCCCGGTTGCCCCTCTTCCAGGTCAGCTCTCTGCTGTCGCCAGGGAGTGCAGTGGAGGATGGCCCAAGTGCTTGGGCCCTGCACCCCATGGGAGACCAGGAGAAGCACCTGGCTCCTGCCATCGATCAGCGCGGTGCGCCGGCTGCGGTGGCCATTGGAGGGTGAACCAACGGCAAAAGGAAGACCTTTCTCTGTCTCTCTCTCTCTCTCTACTGTCCACTCTGCCTGTCAAAAAATAAATAAAAGCAGCAAAATGAGACAGTTAATCTGAAAGTAAAACAAGGCGTTATGCCCCCACAAAAACAAAACAAACAAACAAAAAATGGCGTCTTCTATTCTGTTTTTTTTGCTAGGAGGCAGTGTTTCAGTCCATTCTGAACTTATTAAAAAAGAATTTCAAAGACCAAGGTATTTTCTGGTATGGCATTTACAATCAAAGTGTAAACTGGAGAATGACAGTACCCTGTATACTCAAAACCACTAACTGTGGTTACTTCTGGGAAGTGCCAGATACAGATACACACAATATCTATGGTTATCTATAACATACACACAGTTTGGGAAAATTGGACTGACGAAAACTTTCACTTTTTATGCTTCAGGGTTGTCTGAATATTCTACAGAAAGCAACTTCACAATTGAAAAGTGGATTGAAATAGCCTTTTGATATTTTTACTCTTATGGTGTCAAAATACCTGTAAAGACTACATAGAATCAAAGAAAAACATGTAAATTATTTTTTCTTTAAATTTATTTTTATTTTTAACAGGCAGAGTGGACAGTGAGAGAGAGACAGAGAGAAAGGTCTTCCTTTGCCGTTGGTTCACTCTCCAATGGCCGCCACAGCCAGCGTGCTGCGGCCGGCGTACCGCGCTGATCCGAAGCCAGGAGCCAGGTACTTATCCTGGTCTCCCATGGGGTGCAGGGCCCAAGCACTTGGGCCATCCTCCACTGCACTCCCTGGCTACAGCAGAGAGCTGGCCTGGAAGAGAGGCAACCAGGACAGAATCCGGTGCCCCAACCGGGACTAGAACCCGGTGTGCTGGCGCCGCAAGGTGGAGGATTAGCCTGGTGAGCCGCGGCGCTGGCCGTAAATTATTTAAACATACACAATGTTCCGTGTAAAGTTTGTAATCATGGGGTGGAGGGTGAGGAAAGCAGGTGCTGTAGCCCAGCAGGTTAAGCTGCCACTTGGGATACCTGACTCCCATATTACAATGCCTAGTTCAAGTACGGCTATTCTGTCTCCGATTCAGTTTCCTGTAATGCATTTTGGGAGGCAGCAGATGATGGTTCAAATGTGTGGGTCCTGGCCACCTGTGTGGGGACCTGGATGAAGGTCTGAGCTACTGGCTTCAGCCTGGCCTGGCCTGGCCCTGGCTGTTGCAGGCATCTGGGGAATTAACCAGATAATGGAAGATCGATCGATCGATCTCTCTCTCTCTCTCTCTCTCTGTTGCTCTTTCAGGTAGGGGAAAATACATAACTAAAGATTTAAAAAGATGAAAGTTTGTAACCATGTAAAAGTACATGCACTGAACGAAAACTTTTGAGTAACAAGCAAAAACAGACTGCTCTGCAGACAGAGCGCAGGGGCCTCTGAGAAGAGGCCCTTGCTCAGAGGCCCTTGGTGGGGCTACAGGACAATAAGGAAGTCTTCTCATGGTTATTCTTGTGAAATTCTGAACCATGCAATTACCTCTTAAATAAAAACATAAGATCAAAAATCATTTTACAATAAAAAATTTTTGAAACAAAGTAGGGATATTCTTCACAGAAAGACGTAGACAAACAGCTGAGATTAGGATGACATTTAGGAAAGAGCATACTCAAAATTTAGCATTTTTTCATAATTTCAAATATTATTATATTTTTTGCAAAGGGATTCATAACTGCCCCAATCTTCATTTACTTTGAAGATTGGTAATATTTTGAGTCTAATCTTTTAAATTAAAAAAAGCATTAGCTATTTACTGCAGAATATTAGAAACAGCATAAAGAACTGTTTATGGGATTATATCATATTATAGAAAATGGAGTCATTTAGCAACCTGCTCTCTTCCACTAATCATAGTGTGAACATGCTAACATGCCATAATTTAATCAATCCCCTGCTATTTATTATTTTGAGAAAAAGAAGATACACCAGGAGTTTAGATTCCTCAAAATGGAACAGCTAAACAAACAGGTACACACAATTCAAAAGATTATGGTAGCCAAACTGCCTTCCAAGAAAAACACAAGAATTCATAATTGTAGTACTAAGTTAGTACTGATACTGTGGCATGGCAGGTTAAAGCCCCAGCCTGCAGTGCCAGCATCCCCTATGGATGCCAGTTCAAGTCCCAGCCACTCGACTTCCAATCCAGCTCCCTGTTGATGCACCTGGGAAAGCAGCAGAGGACAGCCCAAGTACTTGGGCCCCTGCATCCACATGGGAGACCCGGAAGAAGCTCCTGGCTTCAGATTGGCTCAGCTCCAGCCATAGTGGCCATTTGAGGAATGAACCAGTGGATGGAAGACCCCTCTCTCTTCCTCTGTCTCTCTCCATAACTCTTTCAAACAAATAAATCTTAAAAAAAAAAAAAAGTGGGTGAGTGTTGTGACACAGAAGGTTAAGTGGCTGCTCGGGACACCTCAGACCATACGAGTGCCCGGGATTCAGTTCTGGTATCTCCACTTCTGATCCAGCTTGCTGCTAATGCATCCTGGTAGGCAGCAGCTGATGGCTCAAATGCTTGGGCCCCTGCCACCACATGGGAGACCTGGATGGAGTCCGAGGCTCCTGGCTTCAGCCTGGTCCTATCCTGGCTGTGGTGGGCATTTGGGGAGTTGAGCAGTGGGTGAATTATATCTCTTCCTCTGGCTCTTTCAAGTAAAAGACAAAATTAAATATTAAGAAAAAAAACACCTCGTTGTGATGCACAGAGACGTTAATCTGCTGATCCTTCAGTTTGAAGATCCTCCATGTAGAACAAGCAGCTTCGCAGCTGTTGGACAGGCTACTAGGGAGCATCCTCTAACTACCATTCTGAAAACACTTGGAATGCAAAGTAGCACAAAGTAACATTCACAAGCAGAAGTTAATCTGAAACACAAGTGGTGGCCTGCCTCCAAACTGTGTTATGCAACAATCACATTCCCTCCAAACTAGTCAAAGTCTCAGAGCTCAACTAGTCTTGCAATCGGACTGCTTCTCAGATGAGTTCCTGCCACCAAGAGGATGCTCTCACTGCCACAATAAACGAACTCCTGGCCTCTAGCCTCTAGCTGCACTTGCACCCACAGGACATATAGGAGTATTCTTCTGCAACTATCCTGAAAAAGGTCTCAACTTCCATTTCATTTTCATCTAAACACCCTAGGAAGATGGACACACTCCTGGTCAGACACTGGACTTGTGGCTCAAGGTACTTCACACATAAAAAACAATTATCAAGGTGAGGTCTAGGGACTCAATACAACCACTTCCATTCCTAGTCCTCAAAGCCAGTGAGGGACTCAAACGGGCACATTTAGAAGTGGCGTCATAATACCCAAGGTCACAGCATCTGTACTCCCCAGTGATACTTACACAATCTTCCTGCTGTCAGGGCAACCTGGTCCCTGACATAAGGAGACCCCTGCAAGAAACAAAACAACTCTTAACCAACTCTGATCTCTCACAGGACACGAGGTGAAATGGAAGAGGTCTGCTTGCCCTCTAGACCCCAACACAGCGGGACCAACTGCAGACGACGACGTCAGCTTCATCAAAGGGACCTGCTTCTCACTCTTCCACTGAAGCAGCCTTAACGGACAGAGCACCGGGTACAAGGGGTTAAGAGTGGGCACTGTTTGGAAAAGAAAGGGGAGATATCTAATGGCACAACCCAAAGTAGTTTTATAATCTTATTCACCTTGAAAAACTCCTAACATACAGGGGTACCTGTATGCTTTCACATTAAAATGTCTCTATTCCTCTGTTCAAAATGACTGAAGCTTGACAAAGACATATGACGGCTTATCCTACAACTTCACATAACCTAATGTGAGAAGCAGCGGAGTATTAGGTCTGGCTCAGAGTGGACTGGGCTGGAAGTTTTATTGCCTGAACTCCAGTAGCAAGACGGGGCCATTTTAGGGCCACAGCCTCCGGCTTGTTCCAGGACTGAGCAAATCATTTCCTCACCTCTCAGCCTCCTCCCACACGCCTTCCTGCATGTGGCCGTTCTGGTCCCTCTCTACAAGGTGCGAGCCCCTTTCTGCCCACCAACTGCCCTCATGGGGATAACTGCATTTCCCTACCTGATGGCTAGCAACTATGGCTACTTCAAATATATTTTCTTACGTCTTTTCTTCTTCTTCTTCTTTTTTAGGTCTATTAACAACTCCTCCTGAATGATGGGCTCAGCAGGCACCAAATGAGAGACAGCTTCCTCTCAAGCCCACCTCCTCGCAAACACGCCCAGAGTCCGGTCAGTCCCCTCCATGTCTGGCAGTCAGTGACTAAGCAGCGTATCCTTGAAACGGAACAGCCAGCAGCCCACACTGATTTCTGGAACCACGTCTAATTTACAGTTCATCCTACAGCAGGTTTCATTCGCACAGTGCTTGAGGGTTTATAAAAAGCTGCACGTAACGACCTACTTTGATGTTCAAGGCTCATAGCAACTCTGAAGTCGTACAACCACCTGCCTTCACTGCTTTTCATATATAAGCAGGGCTTCCGGGGATTGACTGACTACCCCGGGTGAATGCCCAGCCAAGATGCAACCCCACGTGCAAGGGTCCCCCCCTTGTCCTGCCAGTCTATAAAGAGGAGAATGTTTACTGACATTTCTCGGGATTCCTAGTAGAGAAAGTTCATCACTGAGCGCCTGCTAGGAACTGACACAGTGCTGGTGTCTCACATTCTCAGGACTCAGGATAAAGTCCAAACACTTTGCACAGTCCTGTACCATCCAGTCCTACCTAACTTTGCAGCCAGGTAGGCTTCTTTCCATTCCCCTAATAGGGCAATTCCCAGCCTGCCTAAAAACCTCGACAGAGCAATTCCCTTTGCCTGAAATATCATTTACCTGGCTAATTTCTACGTATTCAAGTCTCAGCTTCAATGTCACTTCTTCAGGGAAGCCTTTATCAGCATTCCCTACTCTCCCAAGCTGGACTGCATCATCCCCTGTCTCATCAAGCTGGACTTCTGAGTACCCACAATGCAATCATGTCCTTACGTGTGCACAAACATCTGCTCACGCTCTCTCCAGCCAGCCTAAGATCTTCGAATGTGGAGACCATCTGCTGTTTCCTTGTCACCAGGCACAGGGGCTGGCACTGTAGTAGCACTCAAACCATTTATTGAGTACATGAGTAAATGAGAACATAATGGATTAAGAGTTCAGGCTAGGAGTCAGTACTGTAGTACAGTGGGTTAAGTCATGGCCTGCAGTGCCAGCAGGCGCCCATATGAGTGCCAGTTTGAGCCCAGCTGCTCCACTTCCAATCCAGTTCCCTGCTAATGTGCCTGGGAAAGCAGCAGAGGACAGCCCAAGTGCTTGGGTGCTGCACCCACGTGGGAGACCTGGAAGAAGCTCCAGACTCCTGGCTTCAGATCAGCCCAGCTCTGGTCATCACGGCCACTTGGAGAGTGAACCAGTGGATGGACACCCTTTCTCTCTGTCTCTCCCTCTGTCTATAACTCTAGCTCTCTAATAAATAAAATCTTAAAAAAAAAAGTTTAGGCTGAGGAGTCAGTGTTAAGCAGCTGCCTGCAGCACTGGCATCCCATAAGGGCACGAGTTCAAGTCCCAGGTGTTCCACTTCAGATCCACCTCCCTGCTAATGCACCTGGGAAAGCAGTGGAAGATGGCCCAGGTGCTTGGGTCCCTGCACCCACGTGGGAGACCCAGGTGAAGTTCCTGGCTCTGGCCTGGCGCAGCTGTGGCTATTGGAGAGTGAACCAGCAGATGGAAGATCTCTTTCTATCTCTCCCTCTCTAACTCTGCCTTCCAAATAAATAAATCTTTAAAAAAAAAAAAAAGTAAGAGTTCAAGCTGGGGAGTCAGGTAGGCCTGGCTTGACCAGTAGTTGGCTGAGTGACCTTGGCCAAAGCACTTACCCTTTCTTGCCTTGGGTTATGCATTTATAGAGATAATACTTCTCATTCAGGTTTGTGATGATGAACTAAAATACGCACAGATCGCAGTGAGAATATCTGGTACAATGAAAGCCTACAATAAAACTAACTCATCCAACAAATATACAAGGCACCTAATTTTAAAGATAAGTTATATAAGATAAACTACTAATAATCTCCCCCAAAAAATAAGAAAAAAAGGGATAAAAAACTAAACTCCTTCCAACAATGCAGACTCCGTCTGCTATCTCACGGCACTCTCCCCCTTAACCAAAATGCCTGGCCGAACCCCCTTCTCCTCCAGCTCCCAAGCACTGCCAGCCTCCTTCCTTACCCGGGGACTGGACAAGCTACTCCCTCTCTGCCTCCTGCTCTCCCCGGCTACATCCTCCAGGATGCAGACTCGATGTCACCTACTCGGAGCAGGCGCCCCTGTCCTCCCCACCCCAACCCCGCGAACCAAAATTCGCGCCTGCTCATCTGATGGGTAGTGCGTGCACATCTGGCCTTTCCCACTGGCCTGCGGGCTGCTGGGTCCTGGGCGAGGGGCTGGCAGGGGCCTGGCGCACAGCAAACACTCCGTGACGCTGCGGGTACAGGCGGCAACTGGGCTGCCTGTGGCCGTACACGCCGCTCTGCCCCGGGAGGAGAGCGGGTCAGGCGACGGCCGGCGCAGAACTTACCAGGCAGGGAGCGTCTCCCTAGAGGGCAGTTCCCCTGTTGAGAAAGAAGACATCATCGACGTCACCCGAGGTGAAACGAGGGGAGAAACCGCTCCTCCTGCGAAGCGCGCACGCAAAGCTGCCCCGGCGCTGGGGACGGGCAATCTCCCAACTCCACGGACAGCCGCGACGGGCGCGGACCCCGCCGGCACACCGCGTCCGCCCGACCGTCCCAACTTCCCCACGGGACTGACTGACACCCCCGGGCTTCAACAGAAGGGACGGGACGGGCCCCCGAGTGTCCAGCAGAGGCCGTCCGATGTCGGGACGGGAGCGGCTCCCCAGCCCCGGCGCGCGGGGCGGGGGGCAGCAGGTGACGGTCGGTGCGGGTGCCTCGGGAAGGCCTGCCCCGCAGGCCTCGAAACACAGCCCCGAGGGCGAGGCGGTCCCGGGCCGGCCAGCCCGCGGCCTCTGCGTCCCAGTGCCCTTGGTGCCGGGCCTGGCAGGCGCGCTGCGCCCCCGCCTTCCCGGCCGCCCGTCTGTCCATCAGCAGGTTGCTCACCCGCCGAGGCTCCGGCCCGGCCGGACCATACCTTCTGGAGGGCGGAGAGCGAGCGGCTGAACGCCCGGGACACGCAGCGGGACCGGGACAGCATCGCGACAGCAGCGCTGAGGGCGGGCGGACACCGGATATAGGGCCCGGCAACAACCGGAAGTGGGGCGGGCCGCAGCACCCGCCACGCTGCGAGGGGTGTTCGGAGCGAACCATTGGCGAGGGTGGTGGGGGCGGCTGGGCGGCGCGGGGTCCGGCGTTCCAGAGCAGGCTGTGGTGGCCACTGAGCTGCCTGCTTGCCTGCCCGAGACAGCCCTCTCGAGGGTGCCTACGACTGTCGGCGACCGCAGGGCCCCCGGGGTCGAGCGTTCCCTGGCCATTCCCCGGAGCTGGCTCGGAATTTGGCCCTCTTCTGTCTGAGACCCCGGGGTACCTAGCCATTCTGCCCCCTGCCCCACGAAGAGAGAGCAAAAAGCAGGCACGGGCTTTGAACTCGGATCCTGGCATACGTGGCTGCCTGATCTTACACCTGTGTGGCCTTGGGCAGGTGTCACTGCCTCTCAGAGCATCAGGCTTCTCCCTCTCTCTCCCTCACACACACACACACACCCTCAAGCTCTCCTTCCAAACTGTTTCCTGTACATGCCGCACATTTTTGGAAATTGGCCCCGCCCTGAGAACGTGAACTCCTATCACCTGGAGTTTAAACTCGGTCTTGTTCGCTGCTGCGCCCCAGCACAGCTCAGGTGCGCAGAGTTTGTGGGCGGAATCCGGGCCTCCCTGCCGTCAGCACACTGCTCTGCTGCTCCCTAAGTGAAACCACGTGGCCGCCCCTTAGGTCCCCAGGCCCCTGAATGTTATGGATCATCACCTGCCTGATAGAGACGGCGGTTTATAAACCTGCGGCTGAACTGGTAATTGATGAAGTGTGACCGAGTGGTCTGTGCCTGTGCCTTCTGGTGTCTTCACCTGAAGCAGCTTACCTGGTCAGGACTCTCCAGGTGCTGAAAGTACCACTGGGGGTGGGGGGCGGAGAATGCAACCAGAAATCGGGAGAAGAAAGGGCAGGCATCGGCCGCGGTGCTCACGTCCTGCCTTGCATGCCCACGTCTCGTGTCAGAGTGCCTGGTTCAAATTCTGCTTCCTCTCTCAAGGACCCCCCCGGGAGGCAGCGGGCGATGATTCAAGCTCAGATTTTAAGACACAGGGAAAGCCGGCGCCGAGGCTCACTAGGCTAATCCTCCACCTTGCGGCACCGGCACACCAGGTTCTAGTCCCGGTCGGGGCGCCGGATTCTGTCCCGGTTGCCCCTCTTCCAGGCCAGCTCTCTGCTGTGGCCCGGGAGTGCAGTGGAGGATGGCCCAAGTGCTTGGGCCCTGCACCCCATGGGAGACCAGGAAAAGCACCTGGCTCCTGCCATCGGATCAGCGCGGTGCGCCGGCCGCAGCGCGCCTGCCGCGGCGGCCATTGGAGGGTGAACCAACAGCAAAGGAAGACCTTTCTCTCTGTCTTGTCTCTCTCTCTCACTGTCCACCCTGCAGGGAAAAATCCGTGCCCCGCTGCCGCTGTGACCAATCCTCGGTCTCCCTCACCTGGATTATTTCCGAAGCTCCCTGAGCACTCTTTCTCCACTCTCGTGCTCTTTTTTAAGATTTACTGTATTCATTTGAAAGGCAGAATTAGAGTGAGAGCGAGAGCGAGAGAGAGATCTTCCATCTACTGGTTCACTCCCCAAATGGCTGCATTTGGGCCAGGCCAAAGCCAGGAGCCAGGAGCTTCTTCCGGGTCCCCCATGTGGGTGCAGGGCTCCAAGCTTTTGGCCGTCCTCTGCTGCTTTCCCAGGCGTGTGAGCAGGGAGCCGGGAGCAGCTTTACCTGCTGCACCACAGCGCTGGCCCCACACTCCCACTTTCTCTAGCTTCTCCTTCACACCTATGTCAAAGATCCTGAAAGGCAAACCTAATCCTGTCGCTCCCCAGCCTAAAGTTTTCGGTTGCTTCTCCGTGTCTGTCGGACAAAGTCTCAACTCCGCCACTTGACCAGGCACCTGATAATCTGGCTTCTTCGACCGATGCCCCTCCCGTTCCCACAGATGCCGCTCTTTGCGCAGCCCCGCCCTCCTGTAATCATCCCTGCGGGCCTGTAATCACCCTGTAAGTCTCTCTCTGGAACCCTCCCTAACCCCTCTGGCAGAGTCAACAGTTACTTCTTCTGGGCTTCCAAAGCAGGTGCCTGTGCCTCTGTGTTGCGTGGTGCCATCATGCGCTGCTTCCGCTGGGCAGAGCAGAAACTGGGAACGAAACTTCTCTTTACTTTCCTGATCCTCTGGCTGTGACACAGAGCCTGGTTCTCTTAGGTTCCCAGTAAACACTTGTGAAATGACTGAATAGTCCCATGCTTGGGACACGCTAGGCACACAAGGAGTCCAAGAACAGAAACCAGCAGCAAAGGCCATCTTCTGCCGGGGTTGCTGCCAATGGGTCTTTGATGGCTACTTAATCCTTTCACTTTTTAATCTCTAATTTTTCAATTCTTATCAAAGGCTTAGAAGTTCAAGCCTGGTGATGATGCTGGCAAAGCACATCTCCTGGGGTTTGAGGGTTCACCTGAGTTAATTTTAAATTTTACAGTCTTAAATGCAACACATACACACACGCGCGCTCCATGCAGGTACCATGCAAAGTCCTTCTCAGAGGCTAAAGGCTGAAACTGCTTTCCTCGCTTTTATGTCTGAGCTCTCTCGGAGTCCAAAGTACAACCCAGTAAGCCAGCACAGCCTGCCACACTCTCCCAGAACACAATATTATCTACTGGGACAGGTAGTTCAAAACCAGCAAGGTTCAAAGGAGAATTTTTAAAAATGTTCATTGTAAAATATATATTCATAAGGACATTTAGATCTATGCAGATGGCTTAAAGAAAAATAATCAAGAGAATGCCCATAGGGAATGGAAAAACCCCACGTGGCCCTCCTCAGCCATCACCCTCAGATAACCACTATCGTACCAAATCATTCTACCTTCTCATTGGCTATAGTCTCATTATGGCTTCAATGTGTGTATGTCCCAAACCATACATGTGGTTTTGCCTATTATTTGTCTTAAGATTTATTTATTTATTTGAAAAGCAGAGTAACAAAGAGAGAGGGAGAAACAGAGAGAGAGGGAGAGAGATCTTCTATCTACTGATTCACTCCCCAGATGGTTTTAATGACCAGGCCTAGGCAAGACCAAAGCCAGGAATCGAGAACTCCATCTAGGTCTCCCACATAGGTAGCAGGGGCCCAAGTTCTTGGGCCATCCTCCATTTCTTTCTCAGGTGCATTAGCAGGGAGCTGGATCTTAAGCAGAGAAGTCAAGACTCAAATTGGTGCTCTGATATGGGATGCCGGCTTCATTAACAGTAACATAACCCACTGTGCCATAATACCAGCCCTTCTATTTCTTAAAAAAGATTTATTCATTTATTTGAAAAGCAGAGTTAGAGAGAGAGAGAGAGAGAGGGAAGGAGGGAAGGAGAGAGATTTTCCATCCGCTGGCTCACTCCCCAAGTGGCTGCAATGGCCCGGACTGGGCCAAGAGCCAGGAGTTTCATCCAGGTCTCCTACATGGGCACAGAGGCTGCAGCACTTGAACCATCTTCAGCTGTTTTCCCAGGTCATTAGCAGGGAGCAGGATTGGAAATGGAGAGTCTGAGACTTGAACCAGTGCTCATATGGGATGCTGGCACTAGGAGGAGGCTTAACCCACTATACGACAATGCCAATCCTGGGCCCTTTGATTATTTAATTGAGGACAAGATACATTAGCTTTCAAATTATTTAAGAAAAAAAAAATGTTCTTAGAAAGGATTAAGTGGCTGGGCCAGCGCTGTGGCATAGTAGGCTAGCTTCTGCCTGTGGCATCAGCGTTCCATAGGGGCACCCATTCATGTCGCAGCTGCTCCACTTCTGATCCAGCTCTCTGCCATGGCCTAGGAAAGCAGTAGAAGATGGCCCAAGTCCTTTGGCTCCTGCACTCTTATGGGAGACCTGGAAGAAGCTCCTGGCTCCTGGCTTCCAATTGACCCAGCCCCAGCCACTGTGGCCATTTGAGGGAAGACTTTCTCTCTCTCTCTCTCTCTGACTCTTTATAACTCTTTTAAATAAATAAATAAATAAATAAATAAATAAATAAATAAATAAATATTTTTTAAAAAGAAAGGATTAAGTAGCTTCAATGAACGGAAACACCACAAAATGGGCAGCTTCAACCATGCAGGTGCACACAGCGTGCTTTGTCCTTACCGCGAGTCCCTGGTTCTCGCATTTGTGCTCTGAACCCCATGTTCGCATCCTTGCTCATGTACATACGGATATTCCAGACCAGATGGTAGGTGGTCTGCAGGTTAACCTGCTGTCTAATTTAGGCCCCTAAATCAGGAACTGCATGCCCTTTGTTCACTCCGTATCACCTCCGGTACCCACATTCCATCTTTCTGCCTCTCTGTTCAGTTGTAATTTAAAAATAATGAATAGATGGATACACAATTAAAATCTAGACATGATCTTAGGTGTTGTAGTTTTTGGTGTATTTTTGAACCTAATAGAAAAGTATCTTTCTGTGGCTTCGCTTTTCCCTCAACGTTGTGATTGGGGGAGTTCTACGTGTTTGTGAGTTGAGCTACGGTTGGCTGATTTTCATTACTGTATTTTCTAACATTCATGCCATGTCCCAAACCGAAGGAGGCGAAGATGGTCAGCTTCGGGTGATGTCCACAGCCTCTCCCCTGCACACGCCCTGAGACGCCGGACCAACTCCAGTCTCATGTGGGTGCTTGAGGGACGGGAGAGGATGCCCACATTGGAGCTGCGTCACTGGAGAATTGGGACGCAAGGGGAGAGCGGTGCCCAGCTGCAGGCCAGGGCAGCAGGAGAAGCCAGGTAATTTGGTCCCTGGGTTTTCCAAGGACTCTGTGGGTCCTGGGACAAGGACAGAAGGTGCTCTCTGAGCTGCCTCTTAGGGTCACCCGTGGTGGGGGAGGAGTGGGAAATGGCAGGGGGGGTCAGCCAACCAGCTCTGGCCTTTATTTGCATATTCATGAGCCCCCCTGTGCTGGTTGGCTGTGCTAAGCAGCCCCCTCTGTCCCCAGAGTCACTGGCTGCAGCAGGGCTGGGGCTATCAGATGGTGCCTTGCACTGCAAAGGA